ACAACCAAGTCAGGCGCGAATTCCGATGTAGAAAGGCGGGTCGATAGGTCTTCCCACCGGTGTACTCGGCCGCCAATCTTCTTGAAGACATCCAGCTGTTTCCGACAACTTTCTAGCAACTCATTGTCGTGCTCGATGCCTAGCATACAGACGGTTACGCGGTGTCCTCGATTACGGAGATGGCGAGCCGCAGATACAGCACGTGCCCCGGTTCGATGATTGCCTGTAAGCACCAGCATCGTGGGCGCAGCGGCGTCGCTGGTAAGGAGTCCAACAGCAGCTTCCGCAATACCACGTCCCGTATTTTCCGTAATCATGTCCTCGGTCAGCCCCAGTTCGGCAACCGCAATCTGCTCGACCTCGAGGGTTTGCAATGGACTGACAGTTGGGCAGCTTCGATTGGTTGTGGTGAGCCGCAATGAGCCTCCAGGTACACCAGGGGCGCTTATCGGGGATGCTGAAACGGAAGTCTTATTGGGTCGAGGGCTGGTTGTGCGAGACGTGCTTAGCTGACTGCGCCCGAGGGAATTGATCTGCGGTGGCACCAACGGCTGGCCCAAGATGGCGCTTCCTTTGCGAGAGCTCGGTGCGCGGGACGTCCTCGACCGTTCCCGCCCAGAATAGGTGCCGCTGCTCAGTTTTGCATCGCTGGGTACCTGGTCGGTATCCTCGCTCTCGGTCTCCTCAGGGCTGTCAAGGACATTTTCCGTCCAATGCAGATTCTTCCCGCCATTTGTTCCAAGCTTTGGTACTTTCCTGTTGAAGCTAACCAGCCGATCTTCATCAGCGGTAGTGTCATCATTGCGAATTTCTTCAAACACCTTTCTCTTGTCGAATTTGGAAAGGTTGCTCTGGAAGTCGAACTCGCCCATCTCCTGAATATCCGTCGCATCCTCTGTAGCCCAGCCATTAGGATCCTCCACATAATTCGATCTGTTATTCCTCTTCTTCCGGCGTTGTTTATTGAGCGACTTGTTCATCTGCGGATAAGACGGCTCGACGAAAGCAGTCTGACGCCAGCCTTTGCTTCTTGGGTCCGTATTCGTCGCCCCATCGTGTTCATTGACTGCTCTGGGGGTCCTTGGTTGTCCAGTGCGACGACTAGCTTTCGCGGCGGACTGCGGAGTTGGTTGCGATGAAACAATGTTCTCCCTTCCAGCGGGAACAGGGCCACTTGGCACAGCGCTGCGACTCTCCTTCGCGGTCTTTCCAACATCAAGTTCCAGGTTACTAAACGGTTCGTTGAGCACAGCTGCTTGGTCACGATGAGCCACTTGCGGGAATTGAAAGTTTTGTGAAGTAGACCGGCTAATGGAAGGGGCTGGAAGCTGTACCGGACCGGAGTCTGCACCCTGGCCAGATGGCGCAGAAGGTGGCTTCGAAAAGCTTAGAATCGCCGGGTCCACGAAGCTTTGCGATGAAGTTGGAGGCGGAGGTGCGGGGGCTATGTTTTGAGATCCCTGAGGCGGAGGCGGAGGCGGACGCTGTGAGATGCGCGGAGTCGAAGATCCCAAAGAAAGATCCGCGATGTCGGGCGCTTCAATTGAATACGTAGGGAGCGGGTGTCCGATCCAGGAAAGTTTCACTTAATGAGAGAGTTAATGTTAGATCCTTGCAAAGTGGGGATAGTGGTGCTAGGCAGTGAGAGGGGGGCAGAAGGCTTATACCTACCATTTCGGAGCATGAGACGTTGACCGATGACATTAGCCACTTCTCCCTGCACAGTTGCATTTGGTGGCGCTCGCAGCGTCACAAGCACATCGTAGCCGATAAATTCAGCCGCCATGATCGGCAGTCTGCACGAATACAACCGCTGTCCAAAGGGCCGGGGATAGAACACGCCACGAACCGGAAGGAACCCCGACAAGGTCGCCAAAGGTGGATGTGGATTGGGGTCAGCTTGTGCTTGCTTACTTGCTTGCTTCTTTGCTCTCGGCTCGGGCATCACGTGTGGCTGGGCTCTTATCGATAAGGGAGGCACTAGACCCGCTCGTTGTGGGGTTCGTGTTTCCTCACAAGTTTAGACTAGTCATCCTAGGTTAGATTCTGGAATAAACCCTAGTTACGTACTCTGTACTGCCATTGAATCATCCATCTTTGACTGGATTATATTCACTCCTTTCATCTGAGTTATCCATGGGTGCTGACTCCATTATCTCTTATTCAATTCCTCAAATGCCGGCTCGATACGTCGATGTAGTCCTAATACATTCTTTGTTATTTTCCTGCATTTCCACTTCTACTCTTATATTTCTCAGTCTTGATTCTTATTGTAACTAATACGTTTGAATGTTTGCTATTAACACTCTCGAGCAGCTGTGTTAGCTCAATCAATTGCTTCTCTGAATGAGATATATGTAGCATATGTTCAGCACCAATATGTATTAGTAGTAGTATTTATCTTCCGCCTCGGTTTGCAGCTTGCATCATAAGTACCAGGCTCACGGGGTGACCCCCTGCATTTCAGGTGTTGGATGAGGTGGAAAACAAAACTCAAACCTGCTTTGAACTTAAAGTAGTACTGTACTGATGTACAAAAGATGAAGTAGATCAGCGTGAAAATACCTAGATCTTACTACTATGTATTCCTATCTCATGTAGGATGATCCGATTAATCAATATAAAGATGATACTACTCACTCGGAGATATCTGTATTAGATCTGTATCATATGTTGGCCGAGGCAGGAAGTGATTGAGCGAAGATACCTTATGTACTATATTCTATTATACAAATGATATTAAGTCAATAATAGCCACACCGGACCACATCATAAGAATACACATGGGATGAAGGATAGATGATTTATTCCCCTCCTAAAAATGTGCAGATAATATAAGCAAATGATGGCATAAGAATGGTATACGATCCCATTTTACCCATATAAATGCTCTAAATAATCCTGCTCAAAATCATCCTCGGGATCACCACCACCATTACCACCACCCGACTTCGACTTCTTCGAAGTCTTCATAACATCACTAATGCTAACAAGCTTGGAGTAAAAATCCGTAACCTTCGGGTGAACCATGACCTTGCGCGCCTCGAACCGCATAACCTGAAGACCAGCTTTCGAGGTCGCCCGACTCAGCGCAACATAGGCCTGACCCTTCTCAAACACGCGGCCCAAATCAACCTTCACCCGCTGCAGCGTCTGGCCCTGCGCCTTATGGATGGACAAAGCCCAAGCCAAAATAAGCGGCACCTGTTGACGCTGCGCCTGCACCTCTCCGTTGGGAAGTTCGATCTTCCACGTCTCCGGCTGGCAGAGGAGATGGCGTTCCGTTCCGTCAGGCTGCACGAAGCATACAAGGGGCCATTTGCGGGTGAGCGTGATGCCGCCGGGACCACTGGCGTCCTTGTTGGCGGCCATGGGCTTGAGTTTCTTGCGTGCACGAGCCATGATCTCGTCGTCGCTGTTGTTGCCTGATCCTCCTGCTCCCGAAAATTCGTTCTCGTTGTCGATGTAGTAGTCGAAGGTGGCTTCGTCCATGAATGCCACGACCCGGCCGATGGAGCCGTTGACGAGCGTGTCTTCCATATTTTTGATGAGCATGACTTGTGCTCCCTTTTTCAGGTGGATCACTGGCGGTGCCATGCAGTTGGCTAGTAGGCGTTCGCGGAATTGGGGGTCTTGGATTGTGCCGCTGTCGACGGCGTTGAAGGTCATTGTTTCGCCGGATAGGCGACTCATTCGGGCGCCGTTGGCGCTTTCGACTTCTTGACGTGTGGGGAACCTGTGGATGGAGTAAGTTGGGTGCTTGGGTTTGTAATGGGCTTGGCTATATGGGGGTGCGTGTCAGGCTTACAGTTCAGTGGCCTCGAGGGAGTCATGGAAGTCAAGAGGCCGAGAAAGTTGTTTGAATGTGTCGATCGTTCGTGGTGAGATCTTTCCAAGTCGAAGCTCGTTGAGCATGTCGGCGAATTCGGGGTCTCGTTGACGGAAAATGTGGGTTAGGAGGATGGTGTGTTGTATGGAAGTGTTCCATGTCGCTGCTGCAAATGCAAATTTGGCTTCTCGGTTGCTCCCTTCTGGGACGGGGGGAAGTTGGAAAAAGTCACCGGTGACTACTAGTTGTATGCCTCCGAAAGGACGACCGTTGTTCCTAATGCGACGTGCGATTTCCTCTAGCTTATCGAAGAGATCGCCGTCAACCATGGACACCTCATCGACGATCAGAACCTTGGTGCGCATCCAGCGATTCCGGGCTTTCTGGTTCTTCTTAATCTATGGATAGTTAGCACATGTGGGTTGGTGTGATCGGTCGACGCCAATGCTAACCTTCTTGACAAGCTCCGGAACAGGTTCCTTCCCCAGTCCAATACCTGCGAAACTGTGGAGAGTTACACCCTCGATATTACACGCTGCTAGCCCGGTAGATGCTGTCACCGCAACCCTGTCTGGCTCTTTCTTGTATTTATCCCTCAGTTTCTTGATGATCTCCCTCATAAGCACCGACTTGCCAGTTCCCGCAGATCCTGTAAAGAAGATACTCTTCCCTTGCTGTACAACCGCATCCAAGACATGGCGTTGCTCATCGCTGAGGAAGATCGACGCTACCTTCGTGCGGGGGTTGTGCATTTGGCCGCCTGTTTGTGCCTTCATAGTCTTGTTCTGCCGACGCAGTTCCCTTTGCTCATCCTTAATCGCGCTAGCTGACTTGTTCCAGGGAGCCGTCTGTTTCGGCCGCATAGGCGTTTGCGGCTTCAAAGATGGGGGCTCTGGTTCTGGTTCCGGCTCATCTTTCAGCCATGGTAAGGTTCGAGGCTTCCTGGTCGGTTGTTGATAGTGGGAGGGGGGCGAAGAAGACCATGGAATTTGTATGCTGCTGGATGGCGGGACACTCTCATCTGGAACCGGGGGTAACTCAGGATACTTGACCTCCGCCACTGCTTTGCTGGGTGAAGTCAAGTCGACTATCGATATTCCTTCGTCTTGCGCAGGTATGCCATGGAGGGACGGGTACTTGGGCGGTTCAGGTTTCGGGACGCTCGGTCTGGTTATAGGGGCCGGGGGATGAATGGATCGGGTTCCTCAAAGTCCAGGTCGTCATCGTCGTCAAAGTCGTTCTCGTCGAAGTAGACGCCATCGTGGAGGGACCCCAGATTAGACTCTCGCACGGTAGCCATCTCGATTTTGCGCTTGACCCCTGCGGACGGCGGCGGGGGTCTCATTGAAGCATTCCCATTGTTGCTGCGTGTAAGCGTGGATTGTAGCGGAGTCGCCGACGCTACTGAATGTTCCTTGACGGCTTTCTTGAACATCACAGCTTCCTCTCCAACCGGCGAAGTTCGCGATGCGGAGTATCTAGTAGAGGCCGTTGGCGATTTTATAATTGGACCATTTGAAAGGAATTGGCGGAGGATACCTGGGGTCGACGCGCGGTGTCTGGAAAGGTACATATACTTGAATTCAGGGTAAGTTGGAGATGCAGCACTTGCCTGCCCTGATCAATCTATTGATGAAACTATTCAATTATCCACCGGCGCGTTTTGGCGATACGCGCCGCGCCACTACTTATCTCTCACGTGATTCCGATAAGGGCTGGCTTATGAATGCCCTTTGCACGTGCAATTGTCTACCATCTATAGAATACTGCCTCTACTTTAGAAGATGTCATTGTGCTCAGCGTGTAATGCGATAATAGCAGGATGGCAGGTCATAATAAACTAGTAACATCTTAAATGCAGGATGACTTCGATATCCGATATATTGGACTGCCATTCCTCTCCCTCCTCCGTTGGACGCCCCTCCCTTCTCCTTTAGTTATTTAAAGAACTAACTCGACAGCTTCATGATGATCCCCATCAATCCAAGTCCCCTTTCGGAACAACACTGGTAACATCATCCTGTTTTCTTGGCTTTCTCGCCTTGAAGAGCATGACCTGACCCATAACCCACGACTCCACCTCCTCAAAGTTCCGACGAAGTCCCTCGTCAAACTGAGCCTTGTTGTCCTCCGAATTGTGGAAAGACTTTGTGTTGTTGTTATAGCTGTTCATCATCTTCTGCCCCAGCCAGTTGATTGGTACACCCTGACCAAGGACCGTCGTGCCCACAAGAACACCGTCCTCCGCCAGATGCGGTCGCACCACGTCGAACAACTTGCACTTCTCTTCAGGTGTTCCCGGAATGCAATGCAACAGGAAGAAAACACTAATCGAGTTGAATTTCTTGGTCTTGTCGAAGGGCAGTGGCTCCAGGGCTGAGGCCACGACGGTATTCACGCGCACCGCCTCACGGCCTACCGTCTCCAGGATACGCTTCTCGGCAGCCTGGAGCGAGTTGGGACTGAGGTCTAGGAGGGTGATCTCAGTGCATTTGGCACCGGCCTTTAGGCTCTTTGCTGGATAATAGCCTGTGCCGACGCCAATGTCTAGGTGGCTCTGGCCCATGGCGGCATTAAACAATGGGAGTTGAACGGTTGAGGTTGGGCATTTCCATGCAAAGTTGTTGGAAACCCATAGAACCCAGAAATCGTAGAAGTAGCGGAGAAGAAAGGGAGTATAGAGTGCAATGCCTTCTTCCAAGGCTGAAGGGGTCTTTGATGAAGCCGTCATTGCTGATTTGGGGTGGATGTGAGAGTGAGTGTGCTTGTGTATCCTCTTTTTTTTCTATTGTTCAAACTTTCTCCTGAAATCGAGGGCAACAAGATAACTATGGGAGGGAGATGGGCGCCTCTGGTGGTAATGAAAAGAATGTCGCAGGGCTAGATGCTAGAACACCACCCAAGCGTTCCTTGCGAAGACGTCAAATCTAGACTGTCATGCCGTCTCACCCGCTTGCGCAGGTCATGTCTTATCCATCGAATGACAGCACTCGAACAGCTTTGACTTTCCATTCTGTTCTATCATGTTGTCTTTCGTGAGTATACGTACTGTCTGACAGGAATGTTCACAGTCTTATCTTCCTGTCATTCCCCCCTCCCTTGCCTACATTGTTTCCTATGAGCGCTTTTTTTTGATGGCTCTTCGGCCAATGGTAGACCACTTCATGGGAATTCCTTGCTGGAAAATGGTCTCGTTTGTTATATAGAAGCCATATCATTCTCACTTGCTGAGGCGCCGAACTGATAACCCTTACAGTAGTTGTATGTCTCTCCAGTAGTCCGTGACAGGCCAGAATCAATGCAGTAGAGCCCCTTGCTTGAACTCTATCCGTCAGCTATGCAACTTTGGTAATCTAGACAATGGTAGACTCCTACTGCTGAGCAGGAATTGACTCAGCTGTGTCTAGATATCCAGTGATCAAGACATCGTTGATTGAGCAGCAAAAGGTTCCCGGTATGACAGTATGGCCAGGTTACGAATCCATAGGAATGACGCGTATTAGAATGGGCAGGGAAGAGATATCGCATGCACACACCGCAAGTTCCGCTTTGATAGCAGTATAATACCAGCTTGTGATATACGGGCCTGCTGAGTGTGGTGCCACCCATTCTTGCCTTAGTATTAGACAGTATACCTCACCGGCCGAATTCGTTATATCGTAATTCCTTCTTTGTTCTCATTCTTTGAGTTTTACCTGCTGCTGTGGTCCTTTCCTCCCCCAAAATTAGTACAGAAGAGGATAGAGAAGACTCAGGAAGAAACAACAGCCATGGTACCAGAAAACGACTTCAACCTTACCGACGACCCATCTAAGCTTGGTCACAATGTCGTTTCCCTCTTTAATCAGATTCAGACACGATACTCCCCAAAGCCCGCAATAGTCTGCGGGGACCATACCATCACATACGGTGCTCTTGCATCTGAGTCGGATCGCCTGGCCTGCCTCCTTCTATCGCGAGGCATCAGCCGTGGCCATGTGGTGGCTCTTGCACTAGACCGCACACCGGACCTGATCATGTTCATTCTCGGTGTCTTGAAAGCCGGTGCGATATATGTACCCGTTGATCCTGCTCTACCCCCCGAACGTGTCAATCAGATGCTGGATGATGAGGCGCTACGCCTGGTGATAGTTAGTCCTGCTAGTACCGAAGGGGGGACGGGCACCAGTCGATATGACTATGGTCATAAGGCGGCCTGCTGCACGACAAGCGAACTGCGAGACCAGATGAGATATCAAGCGGACAAGAAGCCAGCTGTGGATATCCAAGCAGACGACATTGCCTATATCCTTTACACATCCGGCTCCACGGGCAAGCCCAAGGGCGTGGAAATTCATCACGCCGCTATATGCAACTATGCGTTGTCGGTACACCAAAGACCTGGCTGTACTGACCAGGACCGAGTGCTGTTCAAGAGCACAATATCCTTTGACATGGCCGCGTTTGAGATTTACGTGCCATTGCTGTGCGGCGCCACGGTCGTGCAGGCACAGGCTCACGAGATCGGCGATCCCCGCGCGCTGATACATCTCCTTGATCGCCACAGCGTCACCTTCTCCGTCGCGACGCCGACCATCTTACAGATGCTGCTGGACAGCGGTTGGTCTGGCACGCCAGGCTTCTCGAGGCTGGTTACCGGCGGCGAGGCACTGTCACCTCGCCTGGCAGAGCGTCTAACCGCGTGTGTTGACGAAGTATGGAACCTATACGGCCCGACTGAGACAACAGCCAGCGTGGCTGCTTGGAAAGTCCAAGTCCGCGAGGACATCTTAATTGGAACGCCTAACCCAAACACACGGCTCTATGTCCTCGACACCGACATGCAACCTGTGCCGGTTGGAAGCACTGGCGAACTTTATATTAGCGGAGCAGGCGTTGCTCGTGGATATCGAAACAATCCAGAACGCACCAAGGCTGCCTTTCTTCCGGACCCTTTCTGGCAAGGCCATACCATGTACAAGTCTGGAGATTTGGCATGCTTCTTGGACCCCAAGAGACTGGCCGTCATCGGTCGGGTAGACACGCAAATCAAGATTCGCGGGCAAAGAATTGACCCTGGTGATGTTGAGGCGTCCATCACAGCTCACGGAGCTATTGCCAATGCCGTTGTGGTCAATCGAGACGAGCGGCTCGTCGCTTACTGTATACGAAAGCCGGGTGTTGGCAGCGTAGATGTTCCTCTAGCCAAGTTGCTACGCCCCTGGCTAGAAAGCCGCCTCCCCGGCTACATGGTCCCCTCATTCTTCGTCGAAGTCGACCGATTTCCTTCTACTCTCAACGGCAAAGTGGATCTCAGAGCACTACCCGATCCCATCTCGACTATCACACCGGCGCAAAAGCCCGCTTCCACACTGACACAACAGCTGCTGGCTATCTGGACCAATGTACTGGGCCACAGTCAGATTGGCATGCAGGACAACTTCTTCCACATTGGCGGCAACTCTGCTAGCATCATCCAGGTCCAGACCAAGTTGGAGAAGTTTCTGTGTCGGCCAGTGCCGGTGCCAAAACTGTATGAGCATTTCACCATTGCCAGCCTTGCTGCATATCTTTCTGAAGAACCCCAGACCAATGGAGTCACCGAAGAGACGAAGAGCTCCGTTGGGAACGATGCCACTGGTGAAGATATTGCTGTCATTTCCATGGCATGCAGGCTGCCCGGCGATATTCACACGCCAGAAGAGTTTTGGAATGTTCTCATTAGCGGCACCGACGCCGTCACCAAGGTTCCTGAGGAGCGCTGGGATGCCGATGCCATCTACGACCCCGATCCGGAGGCCCCCGGCAAGTCCTACAGCACGGGTGGTGGCTTCGTCAGGGATGCCATGGAGTTCGATGCGCAATTTTTTGGGATCTCCCCTCGCGAGGCCCGGGCTATCGACCCTGCGCAGACCATGATCCTGGAGACATGCTGGGAGGGCTTCGAACGGGCAGGCTATGGCACTAAGTCCCTGCGCGGCAGCCAGACTGGTGTCTTCATCGGGACCGGTAACAGTTCTGTGGATGACGGTCAGCTAAGCGCCGCCGGCACAGAAAAGCTTGAAGGACATCTAGGTCTCGGCACGGCGCCGAGCTCGCTCTCTGGTCGCGTAGCATATGCTCTGGGGCTCGAGGGTCCTACGATGACCTTGGATGCTGGGTGCGCTGCCTCACTGGTCGCCACGCATGTGGCATGCTCCGCACTTCGTCAGGGCGAGTGTAACATGGCTGTGGCCGGTGGTGTCACATTCTTGCCCTCACCGGGTTTGCATGTAGAGTTTAGTCGGCTTCGCGTCACATCACCAGATGGTCGCTCGCGACCATTCTCAGCGAACGCGGCTGGGATGGGACTGGGTGAAGGTGCCTCGGCTGTGGTTTTGAAACGTCTCTCGGATGCGCAGCGTGACAATGATCATATCCATGCTATAATCCGCGGTTCAGCAGTCAACCACGGCGGCCGTGGCGCTAGCATGACAGCACCAAGTGGACCAGGCCAGAAGCGTGTTGTCCGCGCAGCTCTGGCGGCTGCGCGCCTGAAGCCGTATGATATTGACTATGTCGAGGCGCATGGGACTGGCACCAAATTAGGAGACCCGGTCGAGGCCTCAGCTTTGGCGGAAGTATTCAGCAGTAGCCGCGATGATGCCACTGGGCCGCTGAGGATTGGTTCCTCAAAGTCCAATATCGCACACACGCAGGCGGCCGCCGGCGTCGCAGGCCTTATCAAAGTGGCTCTGGCGATGCAACACAACACGCTGCCACAGACACTGCATAGCAGTCAGCCCAGCCCATTGATCGACTGGGTAGGTGGCAAGTTGCAACTGCTCCAACGCCCGATGGCATGGCTACCCAGAACAAACAGCCCGAATGCTCCCCGACGAGCAGGAATTAATTCATTCGGATTATCGGGCACTAACGCGCATGCTATAGTTGAAGAGCCTCCAAGGGCTCGGTCGAACGCTAATGGCGACAATAATGATGATGATGATGCGAGGTCGCCTTTGCCGCTGCCATTTCTCCTCTCCGCCTATACAAGTGAAGCGCTACGTGGGCAAGCACGCAAACTTTGCAATCACATCTCCAGGGCCACTGCGAAAATCAAGCTGTCTGATGTATCGTACTCGTTGGCGACTACTCGCACACATTTCCCACGACGCATCGTTCTGGCGGCACAAGACAAGACTGAACTGCTGGGCAGCCTAGCAAGCATTATCGACAACGGAGTACCGGCAACTGCTGACAACAGCAAGTCAGCCCGCGTGGCGATGTTGTTTTCCGGACAGGGCACTGAACGACACATGATGGGGAAGGGTCTTGCTGAACGTCACCTTGTGTTCCGCAACACCATCACTCACATCGCAAGCCTGTTCGAGGAAGTTCTAGACAAGCCTCTGTTGGATGTTATGTGGGCAGATCCGGAGAGCGAGGCCGCTTTCTTGCTCCAGCGTACGGATTATGCCCAACCAGCTATCTTTACCCTCCAGGTAGCACTATGGAGACTATGGCAGAGCTGGGGTGTCCAGCCAGCAGTTGTGTTGGGCCATAGTGTTGGCGAGATTGCGGCTGCGCACGTCGCCGGAGTTATAGATCTGGCGGACGCTTGCCGCTTGGTCGCGGCACGAGGGAAGTTGATGCATGCGCTGCCTGAAAATGGTGGTATGGTGGCACTTGAAGCCGCCGTAGACGAGGTTACTTCAGCCATCGAGCAACTCAGTGCCCGCGACAGGGTGTCGATTGCCAGTATCAATACGCCAACGCAAGTGGTAGCTTCTGGAGAGATGGATGTCATTGACAAGTTGGCAGCTTACTTTAAGGCTCGGGGCAGGTCTTCCAAGGTCCTCAAAACTAGTCGCGCATTTCATTCGCATCATTTGGATGAAAGCATGCTTGCCTCATTACGCACCGTCGCAGAAACGCTTGTGTTCCAGCAGCAAACGCTGCCTATTGTCAGCACAGTCACAGGCAAACTGGCAGAGCCTGGGCAACTTAGTAATGCGGATTACTGGGTGCGACAAGCTCGCAACCCAGTTCTGTTCGCAGAAGGCATGCAGACCCTCGCTGACCAGGGTGCCAATTGCTTTGTTGAGTTGGGCCCGGGATCGACACTGTGTGGTATGGGGGCCTCATGTCTCGATGGGGACAGCAGTCAGACGAGCAAAATGGCCAACCGCGAAGGCGGAGTGAACCTGGCCTGGCTGCCTTCGTTGAACCCCAATAGCGACGACGCTCTGGTAATTCAAAATAGTCTCTCGGAACTACATATCCGACAAGCAGAGATCGACTGGGCAGCCTTCTTCAAAGACATTGGCGGGCGCCGCATCCAGCTACCTACGTACGCATTTCAGCGACATCGGTATTGGCTCGACGGGTTGCGACCAATATACAGCGGTAAGCCATCTGGCCAGTCTCCTTCGGGTGGACCCCGACCCAACGGTCAGATCCAAGTTGGATGGCACACTATTGACGCGAGTTGTCATTATTCCAATTCAACTTGGGGTCTGCTCTGTCCAGCAAATGATGCCCCGTGGATGGCACCGGTGAAGGAAGCATTGTTGCACGCCGGAAAGCAACCGATTACAGTCAATCGGCTCGCGGAAGCCAAAACGATGAGCGGCGTGCTTTGTTTTTGGGAATCAGATAGTGAAGATGACTTGACCTCCAAGGCATCTGAGCAATTGCAGACAGTGTCCAGGATGGGGTTCTCGCCCTGGCTAGTCTGGGTGACGCGTGGTGCTGTTGGAGCTGGAAATATGGGCGAGGCATCGCTCTGGGGTATGATGCGAAGCGCGCGCGTGAAATATCCTCAACTCTGTTTGCGGATTGTGGATCTGGAGGGTGACGTGGACATCGCTACAGCCACTAAACTCTGCTCGATCTTGATGATGAGTACCGAACCTGAATGTGTTGTGCTTGGCGAACGAGTGCTCGTCCCGCGAATGCAGATGCAAATGCAGGCACAGAACCAGGAGGTCCAAAAGCATGGTAAGCTGTGCCTGAATGAGCAAGAGACGACGAATGAAACGACAGCTGCTGCAAAGTCGAATGGGACGGACAGCTTCAAGACCAAGATCAGGATAGTTGGCCCCGAGGAGAGGGCGACAATGCTTCAGCGGCTGGTAAGGGAAGTAACTGCCAAGGTACTTGGTGTGGCGGCTGCAGAGGAAGTAGATATGCACCGGGAGTTCATGGATGTTGGAGTGGACTCATTAGGAGCCATCCAGATGCGTAAAGAGCTCTCAGCACGGACTGGGTTAAAGTTGCCACCTAACTGGACGAGAGTGTATCCGGATCCTACCTCATTGTCCGATGCTTTGCATAATCAGGTAGAGGAGATAGTAGCTAGTAGCTGATGGTTGTTAGTAGAATGCTGCTTCTTTCGGTCTTTAGTTATATAGATACTAGCTAGATTAATGAGAGGTTGTTAACGCTGTCCGACCCTTGATCTATCATGAAGATCAGCATGCTACTAAATGTTAGTATTATTCGGGAGCACAAGAACCGGCAGTATTTGTAGAATGGTGAAACCAGCCAGTCCTTACCGTCGGTGGAGTCGAGGATGTTCTGCTGCCTCTTCCCAAAGGGAAAGAACCCCCTTCAGTCACGTGACAGCGTATACTCCCCAGACGCGCTTCCGCGCGGAGCTCCGATAGAGCGAATCTTCATATCGGCGCACCGGTCCCAGGCTGATTTCTGCCAATCATGAAGCATGGCAGAGAAAGCAACCTCGAGTCAGTGCTCAATCCCTCTTTTTAGATTGCAAGAGACAGGCTAACTCCACTTCAGACAAGGAGCATCCTCTTGCGGGGGTGGTCCTCTGCTTTACCTCCATCTTACCAGAGCAGCGGGTATGCCAAACACCCTCTGATGCTTGTACTTCTCGTTATAATTCTTCAACCAATTCAGCACAGTACTGATGGCTATGTGTCACGTCTAGTCTGAACTCGCTATCGTCGCAAGTCAGATGGGAGCAACCCACAAATTTGACCTTACCTCGGACGTTACGCATCTGCTTATCGGCGAAGTCAATACTCCCAAGTACAAGTTCGTCGCGCGCGAGCGTACCGACATAACAGTCCTGAAACCGGAATGGGTTGAAGCTGTTCGCCAGTCATGGATGCAGGGAGGCGATACAGACATTCGGGCTCTGGAAGAAAAGTACAGATTCCCGACGTTTGCTGGGCTATCCATTTGCATAACGGGCTTTGAGGATAGTGAGTAGGGAATACCGAACATAGAGCGCACTGGAAGACTAGTCTAATTTATATGCTATAGTGTCGCTGCGAAATCGTATCCAGGATACCGTCACTGCCCACGGAGCCGAGTTCCGAAAAGACCTCACCAAGAATGTCACTCATCTTATCGCCAGGAATACGGAGGGTGAGAAATATAAATTCGCAACGCAGTGGGGTATCAGAATTGTCACGGTGAAGTGGTTCGAGGATAGTCTTGAGCGTGGCATGGTATTGGAAGAAACTCTCTACCACCCTCTCCTACCTGATGAGCAACAGGGCGCTGGTGCCTGGAATCGATCGCTGCCTACTCCGAAACCAAAAGTCACTAATAACGAAAACCCCTCAAATCCTAGACCGAGAAAGCTTCGGAGGATTGCGAGTGCTAAGCTGGGTGACCAGAATGAAGGCATCTGGGGCGATATTGTCGGTACGGGTTTCGACAGCAGCGATCCGAGGCCATCTAGAGAAAGTCTGCGGAGGACTCAGTCTTTGACAAAAAGGCCCTCTATGTTTCAGGAGTCACGCTCATTTGCGAGCGAGACTACCTTTGCAGAACCGCAGGAGCCCCTTCAACCGCCCCCGCCCCCGCCCCCTCCACCAGCTGCAGAGCGTCGCGAGGGTTTTTTGGGCGATTGTTTCTTTTTCATTCATGGGTTCTCCTCTAAACAGGTTGGTGTGCATACCCCTACACTTTCTTCCGCCTGCTAATCTTTCAAGACCAACGTATTGCGAAATCACCTTTCCTTCAATGGTGCAGAGCTGGTGAGCTCCTTGAGCGAGTTCTCTAGACCAGACATACCCAAAAGGGGCCATGGCCTCTATACCATTGTGCCCTACAAGATGCCCCGCGCACAGGTCCCATCCACGGATGATTTGGCGTTCGAATGCGAAGTGGTAACCGACATGTGGTTGGAAAGATGTCTCGATGCGAAGACGCTGGTACCGCCAGAATCCCACACAGCAAGCACCCCGATCCCTTCTTTCCCAATCAAAGGTAGAGCCCCAATCAGCTCACGATAGACGTCTAGCTGATAGTCCTAGGATTCGCGGGACTGAAGGTCTGCTCTACTGGCTTCTCCCGAATCGACCTTCTCCATCTATCAAAACTCGTCAACCTCGTTGGTAAGTTACCCTAAGCAGCTTGATGAACTTGTCTAACTCTTCAGGTGCCAACTACCACGAGTACTTGACACCCAACGCCTCCGTCCTTATATGCAACGACTCCGGCCCCGTGAACCCGGAGAAGCTGCGGCATACCCAAGAATGGGGAGTACCTGCTGTATCTGCGGACTGGCTCTGGTCCTCCATCCGCAACGAACAGAAACAACCAGTCGACCAATACCTAATTCAAAACCAACCCACACAAAGCAGAAAGTCTCTGGAACCGCGAGCCGGTTCTCGCCCAGAGCAGAAGCAACTCCCCAATAGTAACGAGCCCCCACGTCCCAGACACGAGCATGAGCACGAGAAACAAAAATCAAGCAATGCACAACCACCAGACACATCCCCATCAGACACCAACCCCACAACCAAACCACCTCCAGCCCCAACCAACATAACTAGCACCTCCCCCCTCAAGCGCAAACCCACCGACCAACACCCCTCAACCGCAACCACAACTACCCAATCCGCCCTCAACCAAGCCGTAACCAGCCTCCTCAAAAACGCCCGACCAGCCCAACCTTCCGAACACAGCACCGGCCCAGACGACCGCCACCGACCTCAACGAGGCCGAAGACCGCTCCTAGGTCGGGCCCCCTCCTCCCTGGACCACCCTAAGCACTTCTCCTTCTCCCGCGCGAGCTCAATCGACACCCTGAATGAAGACGGCTGCGGCAGCGCCGTCGAGTCCACCACCACGACCGCCACCAACTCCCGCATCCCCTCGCTGTCTCACACCCACAGCAATCAATACGAGTACCAGTACCCGGAGCGTAACGGCACCCTCGAAGAAGAGGACGAGAACGAGGCCCCGCCCATGACGCAGCTGGACTACGAGGACCCAGATGCAGTAGCCATGCGGGAGAAATTTCTACAAAAGGCCGGGAAGGTAGTCGAGAAGAAGAAGTCGAATGATGTGATTGCGGAGGGGAGACTTGTTCCTGGGTTGGAGAATGGGGCGTGGGGTACGGCGAGGAGGACAAGGCATACGAATCGCGCGTTGGATGATCTTTGATCAAACTATGATTCTTGTTGGATTGGCATGTGAGTTCTGTTGGCTAGAAAGAATTATATATGGATGTGCAAGTTCTGTCCCAAAAGGGATAGGAAAGAGATTATCTATCTACCTTTGGTTTCTTTGGACACTCATAGGTCCATTGTGTTCTGCTGTTAATTGCATGCATAGCATAACATGGCGTCTCTGTCATAAATGAATATCTACTAGTACTAGCTACTAGGGCAAGTCTTGATTAGTTCAATATGGATCCTTGGGTTTGGGGTTTACACCTTGTTTTCAAGCCTAGTTGTTAATTCCCTGTACTTGCAATTTGAAAACAATCCTACCAGATGTGACAATCGCGCTATGACACTACTTAAAAAATGAATAGAAAGAAACTAAGCATAATAATAAAGGCACAGCCTCAATCTAGTTAATGCCTTTGCTAAGAAATAAAACCACGAACACTAAAAACCATAAGCAAAAACTATGGTAGGTAGTACTAGGTAGGTATGCAATTAAGCTCTAAGACGCCAATCAACGGTGGTGATACGCCAGAAACTGAAAATACTTAAGTAACCATCATCATCCATAAGCTGATGATAACAATCATCAACCAGCCCTATCCTGCAAGGGATGGGGTAATGATGCACATAAAAATAAGGAAAAGGGGTGAAGGGGAGGTGAATGTACATACACGAGGGGGATATTTTGAGTGGTAAAGGAGACGAGGAAGAGGGAGGTAAGGAAAAGTGCCAGCCACGGCTAACACTTCTCTTGAACAGAGAGGGAATAGCAGTAGCAAGTTCGTACAGCATCATTATGTTATGTTTTGTACAGTTGTCAAAGATGATGGGGGATGAGAAAAAGAAAATAAGAGTAAAAGTCAAGAGTTGGTATCTAAGCATGGGCTGCCAGGCCACCAGGTAATGGAGCATCGAGATCGATGTTTTCGACTGAGGTGCGGTTCTCGCCGCTCTCGCGGAACAAGTTCGTAAAGTACTTGCAGGCGGCGTCGCTTTCCTGCTTGGTCTTGCTGACTTCGTGCTTGCGGCGGCCGAGATCCTCGATGTCTTGCGCCAGGCTTGTTTGCAGGTTGCCGGCGGGGAGGCGCAGAATGCGGCGGACTTCGGACGAGATGCGCGTCGCGTTGGAGTGGACGTAGTCCATCTCCGAGAGGGTGGCGGCGAGCTTGCGTGAGAGACGAGGGGGGAGGGTCGTTGGGATGGAGGAGACCATGTAGGCGGCTGTCAAGGCGGCTGGTTTATTCGGTTAGTGAAAAGTTCAATAGAACGGCTTATAGGGTAGGACTCACCGATTGCCATGACACCAGGAATGAACAGGCGGCGCATATTGTTCGGTCCGAGGAACTTGACTGCGCTAAACACGCTGTCGATCCAGCTGATTCCGCCAAAGGCACGGCCTGTAAGAACCGTCAAGGCGGTCATGGCCATTCCTGTGCCGGCCACCTTCTCTTGACGCTCCCAAATGCCCGAGACGTCGAAGAAGTCCCAAAGTTCCACTTCCGTGTGCACTTGTCTAGCGAGAGTGTGACGACGACCGCGACGGAACATCATGTCTGCACGGAAGTTCAAGGGCGCAAACTTGTCCTCACCAACATGGAGGAGACCGATGTTCTGGATGAACCCGACGCCCTTTACCGTCTTTTCACGAGCGTAGTCCTCGCAGCCAGTTACAGCCGAAGCGATCTGATCCAACATGGCCACCTTCAGGTCTTCAGCATATTGGAATGCGGAGAGGAAACCCGGGTATTCGACGCCCAGATCAGCCTCCGAAACACGGGCGATGGTTTCACCCAGAGTAGACCGGGTGTGGTTGTAGACATCGTCGCAAGACTCGTCGACAAGCTTCTCGATCTGGTCACCAATCTCAACCTTCTTCTTCTTACCATCCTCGTACGCCGGTTCAAGCTCCGCCAGCTCGTCCGTGACGCGCTTAAGCTCAGTCTCAGCAACGTCGCGGTTCACCGAGGCCAACGAGTTGAGATCAGCAAGCAGGTTCAGGAGGTAGGTCCTGGCAGGAGCAAGCTTCGAGCGAGAGCGCTTTTCGAGAACGAAGCGGCGCAAGGAGCCCTCCAGGTTCTCAAAGTCTTGAATCTTCTCCCTCTCCTTGCCCTTTCCTTTATCCTTCTTGCCGGAAGGCTTATCGTCATCATCATCAGAGTCATCGCCATCACCACCACCAGAACCAGAGCTCTCCACCGAAACCGGAGGCGCTACCGGGATAGCGTTACTCGAGACGAAGTGCACCAGCTCAGCCGCTTCCTTGTACGTGCGGGGACTGAGCTTGCCAATCTGGTCCAAGATCATCCGCTCACAGCGCTGCTTGTCGCGAATCTGGTCGAAGCCGTTGACAACAATGAACATGTAAGCTTTCTCATGGGCAGCATTAAGAATGAATTCCTTTGCAGAGAGAGTGAAATGGTTTGCAGCGGAAACCACAAAAACGACCACATCGATCTCCTCCTGCCGAGCGAAGACCGCCGTCGTCTTAAGCGAGTCCGAGTTCAGACCAGGCGCATCAATCAGAGCGATATCCACCACTCCGTTGTTGAGAAGAGATTCGTCAATGGTTCGCACATCCTTCACGTAGACCTTGCACTGCATGTACTTGGAGTTGTCGATAACAATGTTCTCCAGCTCCTGAAGCGCATACACATCGTAGGTACTCTCATCGTTACGGTTGTAAAGCACATCTTTGTGCACAGCATGAACCTCCTCAACACCGCTGTTCTCGCGCGCATCCAGAACCTCACAGAAGATGCTCGTGCATGGCTGCTGATCCTCGGGGAGAACCTTGCGCCGCAACAGCGCATTACAGAACGTCGACTTTCCAGCGTTCAAATCACCCGTAATCAGAACCTTACTCGACGTATCCTCGATCCGATCACGCAGCGACAACAGATGCTTGATACTCTGGCTGATCTTGCCATCCAACAGCGACGCAATCGACGCTTTCTCCAGCGAGTGCACCAGCTCCGCCTGGGACAGTGCACCCAGCTTCAAATCCAGCTTGAGAATTGAAAACTCCTGCGCGATCTGGGGGCTCATCAGCCTCGGTTCCGACGGGACACGACGTTCCGCCGCAGCGCTGGATTCAGCCAAATCCTCGCCACCGGTCATCGTGGCAGCGCGTCTGACCATTCCGGGACGGGGGAAATCTTCCGATTCGGTGCTTGCATCTCCGAAAAACGACTGTCTCTTCTGCAAGGCGGGCTTTGGCGCAGGGGAACCAGGAGCGCTCTGGGAGGAGGGATAATGCGCAGGCCATTGGCGGTTCATGTTCTGGAGTTCTTTGAGGGTTTCGATAGTGCGCGAGATAGCACGCGCGAGCTTAGTGCGGTTCGAGTTGCTATAGATTCGAAGAGCAGACTGGTCAGTGTCTGCATATCTGATAGAAGGGAAATAAAAAAGTGATGACCACATACTATAATAATTGATGAACATGGCTCGCAACGACATGTCTCTCATGCTCCACTGTATAACCCGCACGTCAGTCACCTTTCCACATAAACTATATCCGGTATCAGTCCGGGGACAAAAACGAACCGGCAGGATTCCACTCTCCCAGATGCGTAGGGGTATGCATGGGGGTCGGGCGATCGACCATCAAATCGGCCCTCCAGTCGCCACCAGCATCACCTTCCATCACACTTCCACTGGGAATACTGCCTCCGTAGCCGGAATCCTCATGCAGGGATGCCATCAAGGCGGTCGCGCTCTCGGAGGTTGAGCCATTGCCGACGGTCATGTATGCAGGCGGGGGTCTCGGAAACATAGTAGAAGTACTAGTGCTGGGAAGGCGTTCCTCCTCCGTCGGCGGCGGAGGACGGGCGTGAGTGGGCGAGGAGGACGAAGGTGAGGATGAACCCTCGCCGGCAGAGGAGGCGCCCTGGCCGGGGAAATACTCCTGACTCATGGCGACCGACAGGGAAAGAATGAGGGGAGTTAATAGGGATGGAAAGCCATCAATCGGTGACGCGAAGATGGAAAGAAACGAAAGATTCCCTGGAAAAGCCCAAAGGGGTTTGGTCTGGTTTTCTGCATGTGACACTGTTTTATTACCGGAGTAAATTAGAGTATGTAATTAACTGGTATGGTATGGTACGGTGACCTTGATGTCACTTCAACTAGAGAAGTAGCCTGACATCCTATCTTCATTCCCCATCGCTACTTTGTTATCATTTCATGATATCTAGCCCTCCTTCGCTTCCTCCTTCGCCCACAAGCTGCATGTTATTCCCATCCTGCCGAAACAGCAATCACCATTGAACTCTCTCCCGACTCTCAAATACCCCCACCATGAACGTACGTCCGTCCCTATCTATCTGATCTATCCACCTAACCTTTCCCCTTCCCCGCATCGCCCCAAACTCAACCCAAACAAAATAAACTAACAACCACCCCCCACCAGATCGTCGAATGGGCCTTCGGCAAGCGCATGACGCCCGCCGAGCGTCTGCGCAAACATCAACGAGCGCTCGACCGGACCCAGCGCGAACTGGATCGCGAACGAGTCAAGCTTGAGAACCAGGAGAAGAAGCTAGTCCAGGATATTAAGAAGAGCGCGAAGAATGGACAGATTGGTGCTTGTAAGATCCAGGCGAAGGATCTGGTGAGGACGAGGAGGTGGGTGCTCCCCAATCCCTTGTCTCTTATTCCGAAGGCCGTGGTGGGCAGTATGCTAATGAGTAACGCGGGAAACAGGTATGTCCAGAAATTCTACCAGATGCGGACACAGTTACAGGCCATTTCGCTGCGGATTCAGGTACGATATCCCTTTTCCAATTTACACAGAGCAACCATAGCTCACAAGATCGATGGATGAATAGACGGTACGAAGCAACGAACAAATGATGCAATCCATGAAAGGCGCAACGATGTTACTAGGCAGCATGAACCGACAGATGAATCTCCCCGCGTTGCAACGAATCGCAATGGAATTCGAGCGAGAGAACGATATCATGGATCAACGACAGGAAATGATGGATGAGGCGATTGACGAAGCAACGGGATTGGAAGGCGAGGAGGAAGAAGGCGAGGATATTGTCAAGGAAGTTCTTGATGAGATTGGTGTGGATCTTAGCCAGGCGGTTCGTGCCCCTTCGCCCTCCCTCCCTTCGCAGGGAGATTCGATGAGATATATGATGCTAACATACTATTTAGCTGGGAGAAACACCCACCGATATACAAAAGACGGCCGTGGGCGAGACGAGAGTTGCGCAAGCGGTGGGTGCTGGGGGTGGAGGTGGCGGTGGTGTGAATACCAGTGACGATGACTTGCAGGCGAGATTGGATAGTCTGCGGAGGTGATGTGATTCATACTAGTTGTGATATGATAGTATGAGTTACATTTATTTGTTATAGCTATAAGCACTCTTTGCAGTTTGTTATGCGGTTTTCGTGTTTCGAACGGCGTTAGGGTAACTGGGTTTGCATTTATTCCATCCATCCATGAGCAATTTGACTTGAGTCCAATGATACAGATATTATTATTGCCTGTTGTACGTATGCTGAAGAAGTGAAAGAGAAAGCGCATAGTGAAATATATATATAAGCCATCTCGCCCGCGAGACTGACAATCTACTCAAATCGAACTCAAGCTTAATCCAACATCCAGTGAGTACTTATATTAGTAGTAATGGACCTCCCCATCCTTAATCCCCCCTCAATCCCCCAACAGCCGCCCACATCAACCTACCCATCTATCTCTTTCTGCGTTAAACCAAATCACCTAGTAGCAGCCTGCCTCCTAATCTCCAGCGTGTCCATCTCTACCCAATAACTGGACTGCCCAAACCAGGGCATCGACAACAACTCCTGCAACTTCGGTCTCTCCTCCGGGTCCTTCGTAAACATAGCCCTCAGCATATCCACACAATCCTGCGAGAGGTCTTCACTAACAGGCAACTCCTCTCTAATAACGCGCTGCCTTCGCTCCCTTATCTTCCTCATTCTCCGGGCCTGCTGTGCAGCACTCCTACCCATATGCCACTCGGAAAGACGCCCGATATCCGGATCCGGGTTTGGCTCTTCCCAAGGCGCGAAGCCGTGTAGGAGCTCGTAGATGATGCAGCCGAGTTGCCAGAGCGTGAGGCCGCGGACGTCATGGCGAAGGGGGATTTGGACGGTACCGTCGCTGAAGTCGGTGTTGTCATAATTCGGCTTTAGGAGTTCGGTGGCGAGTTCGGGTGTCATGAATTTCTCGTAGTTGGGGATGTAGGGCGTGTGGCGTTTTTGGAAGTCTGCGTCGCGCAGGCCGAAGTGAATGAGGCCGAGGTCAATTAGGGTTGTCTGTTTTGGTTGGAGGGGTTAGTAGGTGGGTTCTTTTAGGGTGCAGGATGGTTGGTTGTAGGGTTCTGTCTGTAGAGAGGGGCTTACATTTAAAGCATCGTCTAGTAGGTAGTTCAAGTGTGAGATGTCCGTGTGGCAGAGTCGCATATCATGTAGGTATGATGTTGCTTCAAGCAGTTGGGTCGCTATCTGGCAGACGGCCACCTCGTCTAGTCCGGTCTGCTTTCCTTTAAATAAAAGGTAGCTGTCTCCGCTGAGTGGCAGCAACCCATTCTTAAGCCAATCCTTCGTTTCGGAATATGGGTCGTACTTCTTTTCACGGACTTCATCGGGAACTGTAGCTTCCATCACCGTTGCCTTGTACTTGCCGTGGGAGTAGACGGAGTCCAGCATCGGGAACCGCCTACAGCCAGCCGTGAGCAGCAGAAGGTATGCCTCCATTGGAATATAGCGGAACTGATGCGGCTGTTGATAGTATAGAGGCGCCACACTCGGATCACTTTTCCTTTTTCTTATATCTGTATTGATGGTCGATGAAGTCTCGACCTTGATTGCGTATAGCTTTTGTTTTTCCGGAGGTCTGGTATCACTTCCTAGAGACGTTGGTCAGCAAAGGAAGCCAGCACTAGTCATATTGAGGTCAGGGGGCTTACGCTTATGTGCCAGGAAGACGACGCCAAAGGCTGTGAATCTGCATTAGCGAACTATCCAAAAGCACAAGAGGGTCAGAACCCCATACTTCCTCTCCCCAGAATGCCCCGGAGAACAAAATCGTCATCCAGGTTGGGACAGATACTAGCGCGGTACGTATCATACACGTTCTCATCGCCTTGACGATGGATAGTAGATTCTTTATCGTGTATGCTTTGCTGGTATCTATAACTGTCTGTTCGAGGTTCCCCGTCCACCTCGTGCGTGCATTTGGATATCTCTGTCTCTGCTCTGGCTTGCATGCTGGCGTAGTAGCGCCTTGAGAGTACCTCATGGAGTTGGGGATGTTCGGCTGCTAGCAGGCTCTCTGGTTGTAAAAGATCGTGGATCAATGCTGCCAGACTCGACTCCCATGTGTAGACGTGGGCCCATAGTTGCCGATGCTCTGCAGCACTCAAGAGATGGGCATTAGTTAGGACCCCGACGAGGCGGGCGAATTCGCGGCTCCAGAACATCTGATTTCTGTTGTCGTCCGCCATTGCGAGAATGTCAAAAGATGTCGAAATAGGGTTTTAGGGTCAGCTATAGCCTCCTCCCGGTAGTTTGAGTAGAGGGCAGGCTTTTATAGTAGTGGAGGTAAACTGGAGGGCTCCAAGAGCGCCATGAATACTACCGACAAAGGGATGCATCGCGGATCGTGATTTCCTTACTTTCACATAAAGAGCCTTTGTTTTTACTGCGCCGTTGTTAGTGGTTGGAACATTGAAAAGAAAGAGCCCGGTATGCGAGTGATTGTTCGGATTGTTCTATTAGTCCAAACATGTATACAAAGAACACAAGGTTGTGGACATTCAGCAAAAACCCTACTACGAGATCAAACGGTACATGAGGCGATTTTTCCAGTATAGTCTTGAGAGACCCTAACTGGACCATGACTCGCGCAACAGCCCAACGGTCAATTTGATAGATCACATGAGGGCAACATCTTGAGAATGTATGTGCTGCTTAGAGTTTAACTTTCATTCACCTAGGGTTTCTTTTAGCGTTAGCTTTTGTGCTCGTGGAGGGGCTGTTAGTAAAATGAGATACCGATGTTTTCCAGACTGGCAATGTCATGTTCCGATATAGATTCTATAAGTCATGGAAGGAGGGTGTACTAAGACTGAGCATCCAATAAGGGACTCCCAACCTGCAGGATGGGCCCAGCTGAGGCCTGGAGCACCTGCAGGCATATGCCATGAGTCACGGCTGATCTGGCCTATCATCAAAGCGGGCGGCCGTTCTCAATACGACTAGCAAGGAAGATGACGATATCTTTCGCCTGGACTCTTAAAGGAGGGGGAGAAAAGTACCGTTTCATGGTGGTGGAGGTTGTGGTGGTGGTGATCCTGCTGCTGGTGGTGGCGGCCATCGAAGACGACAGAGCGGAATTGATCATTTCCACCATCGCATACAGCACGATCAGCGTAACAAGAAAAGAACCCATGACGTGCAGCATTTGCTGGATACTTCTATACGTTTCTGTATGTAGGGAAGTGGATTGATCCACTCTACTTCAATGACAGTGACGGGCAAGCAGAACATGTCTCTTTGAACCAGACGGACATACGGCGGCAAAGGGGGGTTTGGCTGCAGAACCGGCGCATCCCTGCGGCCAATCAGGCTTGTGGGAACTAGAAGTTCATTGTTGGGCAACAGCGCTGAATGGCGGTTAGGCTGCAGCGATGTTCGTCCTGGACTGTGAAAGCCTGGGCCTGAACACAGCAGCAAACCCGCTAGCCAGTCGGCCACATGCAGGTAGAGTGCACCATGACGGCGGCCTTGCTTGTTCGTTTTTCTTCATCTTCCATCTGATTGTCTTGCTCACCCGTCATCGCCCATCCAACATCAGATCAGACTTTTTACTGCCGCCTTCTTACTCCGGGCTGTAGTTGCTCGTCGCTCTGGGAAGATGTTGGGTTTTCTTACTTGCTGCTGCATCGCCCCATTCCATTGCGGCTGAGGAAGGCTGCCTGCGATACGAAGCCCGGGCAAACACGCGGCCAGAGAAGCAGTCGCGAGCCCGCGACTCAGTAACGACTATCATTCATCCAGAAGAGGGGGGTGGATATAAAAAGACGCAGGTCAAAGGGGCGAATGACATTGCGCCAAAATGGCCAGGGCAGTTCTCCTTGCCCATGCCCGGGCGATGTCGCGCCCTGCTAATTCCGTCTTGCGCAGCGACGGAGGGACCTGCGCGCTTTTCCCCTGGTCCTTTCATTTGGACGGCGCATCGTGATTGAACGATTGCCATGGTCACAAGCAAAGACTCCAGTAGCTCCGCGACCATGATATCCCGAATCTTTTGGGGTTGGATGGTTGCTTCTGCTGGGCATGCAGCTTTCCAAACCTAATGGCAAGGCAGAAAGCACCAGGGATCTTCATCTCCTGAAACAATCTTACACCATGATTATTGCCAGTAGTCCGTCGTCATTAAAAGAGACCAGTTGACCCCTCCATGACCTCCCTGGCGCGTTCGGGGATATAAGGAGGTTATACTTGCTCGCTCTTTGCTCTTGACCCCGCTTCTCCCATTTCCGTTTTTCCCGAATCCCATCCCATTCCCTAGGGTTTGCTGCGTCTGCTCGGCTCCTTTTCTTCTTCCTTCTTGCTCACCTTGACAGCTCCCTCCTTTCCGCCTGAGGATTGACATACTTACGGGTCCCCCGTGGCCGCATCCTCTCGGTCCCCAACAGGAGCGGAGTCTTACAGTATGGCGGTCATCAACCAGAACAACAACAAACAGGTGCCTCCTGCGCCTCCGACTCATCATCCACCTATGCGCCCGAATGAGGGTGTCCGTGTGGCGCAAGCAGGCTCACCACGTCCCATGAACCCGGAGTACTTGGTTCATCAGATGAATCGGCTCAATGTTCAACCGGAGAAACCCCCGGCTGTCAACAATCCAAAGCCCAAGGAGACCACCACGGTCGTTGAGGAGATTGATGCTCGTGCACCCTTCTACTACCTGGGGTACACCTTCTTCAAGGCCGATGCCGTACCCGGGCACAAGTCCACCTGGAACCATGTGGAACGGACCAAGATGAACCTCAGCCAGTCTGATTTGATGAAGCTGGTGCACAAGCGAACCAAGAAGATCCCCATCGCGGAGCAATATCAGTCCCTGTCCAAGGTCAAACGTGCGCATTTGGACCAGCTGATCAGCGAACTTAGGAAGAGTGACCCCCATTTTGAATGGACCTGCGTCTATGTCAAGGAGGACGAGAAGCCATTCAAGGGTAAGAACTCCCGGCGGGGTGACTATGAGACGCTTTCCGTGAACGTTGTCATCATGAGAAAGGCTACAGATCTGGTGTTTCCCAAGATACCCGTCGACGACCATGTAGATGTGGAGGCCCTTCCTAAACCACAGGACCGTGTGCCAACTCACGTGCACAATAATCCATCCGAATCGGGACCAAAGGGGATGTCTAGGAGCATGCAGCCTAGTGAGCCACTGGTTGGGCCTACTATCCATCAGGGGACAATGCCACCGGCCATGAATCATAACCAGCAGCCTCTGCCTACAAGGTTCCATCAGCCTCCTACTCATCAATCTCCACCCCATCAGCCACCTCCCCATCAGCCGCCTCCTCAAATTCCTCAGGGATATGCGGGGCCACGACCACATATGTCCCAGGGCCCCTGGCCGTGGGTGCACGGGATGCCAGCTGGTATGCACCCACACCGCGCTCAGCCAGGCATGCCTGTCTCTACGATGCCTGCGTCTGCTATGCCCAGTTCTGCAGTGCCTGCTCCTGTCATGCCTAGTGCTGCCATGTCTGGCCAAGCCAACGTTCCGCACATGATGGCTCAGCCGAATGGCCTGCGAGGCGTCCACATGGCAGCCGGAATGTTCCACCAAAGGCAGGGATTCGACCCCCGCGCCCAGTTCTCCGGCCAGCAAGAGACCCATCCTTCTGACAAAGGACCCGCCCCTGCCCATGCCCCTGCTCCAACCACTACCCCGGCTCCCCCAGAGACTAAGCCCGAGAACGTCAGGCCCTCCACGCCGGCGGCAGATCCCGAGCTAGAACTGGGACTAGAGTCGAGTAGTGTGGGGGATGATGAATCCGTGTTCGACTTTGACGACGACAGCTCCATCACCGATAGCTCTGATGAAGAGCCCGAACTGGAGGATAAACCCCAGCCGTGGCGCGGTAGTCTCTATCGTCGACACTCCGCCCCCCGGGCGAAGCATGCATACCGCACCCATTATCGGAAGCAGCCCCAGAAAAACGGGTCGGACAGCAAGACGAACCGGTCAGGGTATCCCAATGGCTGCATTGACGTGGTGCCTGCAGACAGTAAACATGTCGACCCACGCAGCGAGGGTGCCGTTAGTGGGGGTGGTGGTGGTGGTAGTGGCAGTGGTCCCAGTCAAGAAGTGAGCCGGCCAGCGCGGGACCGGCCCAAGATCATCCATGCGCCAGTGAGTGCAGACGAGTTAGATTTGGAGCAACTTTTGGCCGAGAGGGCAGAGCGGTTCCGAGGGGGGCGGGCCCGGAACGATATTCGGGCGCGAATACTAGATGACCGCGAGGCCCGATTGGAGCATCGCGAGCGGATGGTGGAATATCGGGCCCGCGTGCTGGAGGAACGGGAACGCTTGGATGATGCATGTTACCTCGGACGACGCATGTCCCTGCGCGAACCGGGCACCTTCTATGGCCCTCGACGATATTACCTCCCGGAGGGGCTTCAATGATGGTGCAGGGTCCTTGAAGGTATTAGTTACATAGGACTAGTCGAATTGGGGAGGAAAGGGGGGGGGGGGGGGGGGGGAGCAATGGTAGGGGGAAATCGCTTCATTGTTTTTCCCTGGGAAAGTCAGTTTACCAGTGGATTTTCGGGTATTTGCATTTTGGGATCGGGTGAAGGAGGGATCCAAGTGGGTATCTCATAACGTCATGGGGGGGAGAAGACAAAAGTTCCATCGGAAGCTGCAGTTCAACCGCGCACACACACAGACGCACCCTGAAGATTATCATTTCTCATCCTTGTGCAATAGCAATGTTATATTATAGGTGGATTATCACGCGCCGAGTTACCCATTCCCGAAGCAGACACCGAGTAGTTGTTTGTAGAGCTTAGTAGTAAAGAGATGAGACAGAGGAAAGAAAGAGAGAAGAGAAGGAGTTGCCAGCTCAGCGAGTGACTTATCGATAAGCCCCGCCCGTGTAGCAGTTTAACTAGTAGTAGTAGTAGTAGTAGGTAGTAGTAACTAGCAGTGCTGGCAGCTGCTCTGCCCCTCTCTCGGTTCCCCCCCATCGTCATTCATCCTTCCGGTTCTTCTTCTTCCCTCTTTCCTCTTCTTCTTTCTCTCTTCCCTTTCTTTTCTTCTTCTTTCTCTGTACTTTACTCGTTTACTCACTTTCTTCCACAATTTCGCTCTTCAGACACTCTCCCCGTCTTTTTCAATCACACCAACACATCTTCAAAATGCCTCGTCAATTTTTCGTGGGTGGTAACTTCAAGATGTATGGAAACCCCTCCATCCGCTGCCCCGCCAGCTCTTCAACAAATATCGCTTCACCCTCAACGAGCCCGCTGGCTAATCAATGACTTCTGCGTTACTCTCACACAGGAACGGTACTGCGGACAGCATTACCTCCATCATCAAGAACCTCAATGCCGCCAAGCTGGACGAGTCCGCCGAGGTGGTTGTCTCTCCCCCCACCCTCTACCTGCTCCCCGCCCGCCAGGCCGCCGGCGAGAAGATCGGCGTCGCTGCTCAGAACGTCTTCGACAAGCCCAACGGTGCTTTCACCGGTGAGATCAGTGTCGAGCAGCTCCGTGATGTCAAGATCGACTGGACCATCATTGGTCACAGCGAGCGTCGTGTTATTCTGAAGGAGAGCGACGAGGTAGGTCTACCCCGCGAAATATTATTTAGTTGGGTTGGGCTAATATTTACCCCCATCTAGTTCATTGCCCGCAAGGTCAAGGCCGCCATTGACGGTGGCCTCAGCGTTATCTTCTGCATTGGCGAGACTCTTGAGGTATGTGGGCCTGTAACTTTCTCTGATTTTGCTTTTTTTTAAACCTCGCGACTACCCCTCTTCGAGCTCGCGGTGACCCGGTGAGATGAACCGAGACTAATGCAACCCCCCAGGAGCGTGAGGCCAACAAGACCATCGACGTTGTCACCAAGCAGCTCAACGCTGTTGCCAAGGAGCTCACCAAGGAGCAGTGGGCTAAGGTTGTTGTCGCCTACGAGCCCGTCTGGTAAGTTCTCTATCAATTCGTCTGGCCTGCTGGTCGCACGCTAACCCCGATTCAGGGCTATCGGTACCGGCAAGGTCGCCACGACCGCCCAGGCCCAGGAGGTCCACGCCGCTATCCGCAAGTGGCTCGTTGATGCCATCTCCCCCGAGGCTGCCGACAACACCCGCATCATCTACGGTGGTTCCGTCAGCGAGAAGAACTGCCGTGACCTGGCCAAGGAGGCCGATGTCGACGGTTTCCTGGTTGGCGGTGCCAGCTTGAAGCCTGCCTGTATGTATAACCTTCCATTTGGTTGAAGCAGCTTACTGACCAATTTGTTGTAGTCGTCGACATCATCAACGCTCGTCTGTAAACAATTGAATGATTGATGGACATGTGATATGATATCCGAATCCCAATAGGCGGGGAAGTCAGCCTGGAAACTCTGCAGACACCATAACCAATTGCAGAGCATGAAAATCTATAAAGAATATAAAAAATCGAATTTATACCAAATAAATCCAAATTGAATACCACCATTAACCTTACCTTCCTCATGCATCCTCTGTAATTATAACACTAGACTACTCTATCAATTACCTAGTAAGTTGCAGTATAATCATAGCACATGTCATAGTATCTACAACCATCCCCCCACGCCCAATATAACCCGTCATATAGATCAATAATATACACAAGGATCACGACGAATACGACACCGAAACCCCCACCCCCCTCCAATACGACTTCCTCAAACCCCCGGACTCCCCACCACCCCCATCAGAAGCATACGACGAGGAAAACGAACTCGGTCCCAACCCCACCCCAGCACTAACCAACAACTCCTTGACCCGTCCCTCCCATAACAACCGCACATTCCACGACTGATCCACCCGGATCTTCAACACGGATTCGTTCTCCTCTTCCTCTTGTTTCCCCTTTCCCAATCCACGGCCTATTAGATCCTTGAGATCGTCAGGAGGTGTAGCTGTAGACGGATGCGGATGAGGAAACAAGCTCTCGCGAATCTTCCGTCTTGCCCACTCCACCCCATCACCATCATCACGATAGCGGGGTTTACTCTTCCGCCAGAGTTCACACCCGGCTACCATCTCGCTTTCCCAGCTATAGACATTGAACCCGAAGCGGGAGCTAAATGCCAAATTCGGCGATGCGCGGAGTGAGTAAGTCGTTGATAGTGAACCCGTTAACGGGGTCAGTGTGAGTGTAAGAGTATAGGGAAAGGTAGAGATCGGAGTGTTGGCATTAGCACTACTAGTGCTAGTTGAAGGGGCTGACGAAGAAGAAGAAGAAGAAGAAGGAACATCCGTAGCAGCAGGCAACGTGCTAAACCTCAGCCCGGTGGACATGCCAATCAGCGACGAAACAGGCGAATAGTAAGCCTCCGCGCCCGCAGACAGCAACGACAGCCGCGGCGAAGACCCCGAAGGGACAGGATCCCTAGGATCGGGCCCGAAGTTCCATAGTCCGCGCCAGCCGAAGAGGGCATTATCCGTACTGAAGAGGTACTCGTTGTTGTATTTCCCCGTGTTATGGGAGAGTTGCGCGAGGAGGGAGGCTTGCGGGGCGGATTTGGAGAGCGGCGGGCCTCGCGTTGAGCAGACTGCTAGGGACAACTGCATGGTTGGGGAGAGACGACGCAGGAAGAGGGCATTGAGGGTTGTCGGGGGTGGAAGGTGGAGGGTTGCGTGGAAGAGGGTGGCTTTTTTGCCGATGGAGTTGTATGCGGAGGGGGAGGCATCGTTGAGGTTGTCGTTGTTGTCGTCGTTGATGAGGATGGTTTCGGCGATGGGGGCAATTGGTGCTTGTACTTGGCGGTAGCCTGGGGAGAGCTTACGGAGGGGAATTAGGGCACTTCGGCTGGGGAAGCTGTCGAGAGGGACGGTGCTGAAGAGGTAGGAGACGGAGCCGTCGATGAGGCCGACGGTGCCGAGGGTGTAACTTGTTGCAAAGTGCGGAGTGGAGAGGGAGGAGAGATGGACGCGGAGGCGCTCGGGGGTGGAGAAGTCGAGGAGGGCTGGACTTGTTGTTAGTGGTGTTTGGACGAAGGTTGAGAAGGGGAAAAGGGCTGGTATGCATACACTGCGCAGTGGCCGTCAGCGACGAGTAGGAGTTGTCGCGGTTCCAATTCGTCGCCTCGGCGAAGGCGAGTTGGATGTAATCCATGAAATCAAGCATGGTCGGGGATGGTGCGGGAGCAATGCGATATATCAAGCAGCCTCAGTAGTGAGACCCATCCAGCACGATACAGCCCACCATTGAAGGCCTGGGCATGCAGTAGAGTATCCCGATAGGAGTGAGTAGATGAAGCGGATTGAAGATGAAGCCCGCAATCAGCTCATTTCCCCAAGCAGACTAGGGCAGATGGGGGCACGGATAAGCCGCGCGACAACAATAATCCGGGCGTTATCGACAGCCGCAAAGAAAAAAAATCATTGGATCTCGAATCCACAATTTCCCGCGCCGGCTCTTGCAATTATCACCATTTCAACCTACTCGTTTTCTTCGGTGCTTCCTTCATTCTCCCAATATTCCTAGTATCTAGTACTTTCTCACATCCCGATCAATCACCATGCCTCGTTCCAAGCGTGCCCGCGTCGTGCACGAGTCCAAGACCGTCAAAAAGTCCCACAAGGAACAGACCCGTCGCCTGTACGCCAACATCCGGGAATGCATCGAGAAATACGACCACCTGTTCGTCTTTGGTGTCGACAACATGCGCAACACCTATCTGAAGGATGTCCGTACCGAGTTCGCCGATAGCCGGTTAGTTCCTCCCCTTGACCACCCCCCCGCCTGCCCCTCTTTCCTCCAACAACAACCCTGCAATGCAAACTAAACTAACCACCTGAAACAGCCTCTTCTTCGGCAAAACCAAAGTCATGGCCGTCGCTCTAGGCCACAACCCGGAGAACGAAGCCGCGCCCAACCTCCACAAACTCAGCCCCTACCTCACCGGCGCCGTCGGCCTTCTTTTCACCTCCCGCGACCCTCAATCCGTGACCGACTACTTCGACAACTTCCGGCCGCTTGACTTCGCCCGCTCCGGAACCGTCAGTACCCGGGCCTTCTCGATCCCCAACGGTCAGGTGTATTCGCGGGCTGGAGAGATCCCCGCCTCCGAGGACGAGCCGCTCAGCCACACTATTGAGCCGGAGTTGCGGAAACTTGGTGTTCCGACTCGGTTGGTCAAGGGCAAGGTTATGTTGGAGTTGACGGAGGGTCAGGAGGGATTCCCCATTTGCAGGGAGGGAGAAGTGCTCGATTCGAGGCAGACGACGTTGTTGAAGATGTTTGGAGTTGTTATGGCTGAGTTCCATGTTGCGTTGAAGGCTCATTGGACGAGGGAGTCTGGGGAGGTGGAAATTTTGGAGAAGGATGAGGCTGGTATGGAGGTTGAGTAAGTTTGTTTAGGTCGGTTGATGATGCTTTGAGAAAAAGTTTCGATTCGGTTTCTTTTTTTAGAGTCGGGGTCCTGCTGCTGGTGGTGGTGGTGTTGCCTTGGTGTTGGGTCGTGGGTAGATCGTCTTTTCGTTCAGAAAAGAAAACCTATCTATCTATCTATGGATATGTGGATTTGAAAAAAGTCCAGCTGGCCTGACACGATGAACAAGTCCCACCACCATCCCACGCCCCTTTGATGATGAGATCCCCTGGGCATCTTTGGAGTTGGGTTCAGGCGTTTTCTTTCAATGATTGATTGTCGATTTTTCGACTCGTGTGTGTTTCGTGTCTGATTCGGTATATACTATTCTGCTTCAGTTGATGAGCGTATGACGGACATACCGATATGAATAAACCAATCCGAGAACACTGTTCAGTTACAATAGAATAACATCTCTCAAAAGTTCCTAGGAGGACTACCATTACTTACTACTACTAGTATACTTAGTACTTTACTTAATACCACCTCTTGACGATGGCAATGCCTTAATGAACTATTTACGTACTATGTCATCGTTGCACCCTAAATATATCATTTACCTTCATTTACTTACTGCATTGCATGTTGGCAATCAATCGGTCATGACTGACTCATAAGGTTTTCTTTTTGACAAAAAAACAACCCTACCTGATCTTCTTTCTTACCTGAAAACGAAACCCAGATCCCAAACCATAAAAAGCTCCGCCTGTGAAGACAAAGTGTTGACTATCTAAAGTACATACTTACCCCCTGAAGAGAAGTAGCGGCCGCACACGGGCCCAAGGGAAATAAAACGACATGAGTAAAAAAGAAAAGAGGACACGAGTAGTAACAAAGACAAGAGAGAAAAAGAGCATGAGCATGACAGGCAGGGAAAGAGGTGTCCGTTAAACAGCGCGTATTTGTGTCTGCTGCAACGGCGGGAAATCGACCTTCGAGGGGAAATTTGCGCCTGCCTGCTCCAAATGGAAGATGGATATCTCGTAACGTAACCAGGATTACGAAGGAAAGATGATGCATACGGAGCACTTCAACTGTTGTGAGTTATACGATGGTTGAAGTCCGATATAGCACGGAGCTTGAGCCTTGTTTGACCTTGCCTTACCCATTGCTGCAACGGGGTATAACAAGAGAAGGATCAAATTAATGATACCCACCAGCAAACCGTCACTGAACACTGGAATGGGGATATCCTTCGCGGACAGACGTTCAGTATCTTCTTTTGGCACGGGGGTCATCATACGAATCATCTTCATGGTATCGCTTCCGCCCGTAGTCGTCACCGCGGCCTCCGTACCTGTCACCACGATCGCGGTCGCGTTCACGGTCCCGGTCCCGGTAGCGATAGCTATCCCTGTCACGGTCCCGGTGACGGTCACCGTCGCGGTCCCGATCCCGGTCTCGACGATCGCGGTCACCAAACCCGTCCCGGGGCCTGATGGGTTCTCTGTTGCTGCCAGTAGCGCCGCGGGGTTCACGCTCGAATCTGCCACCACCACCAGGGGGACCACCAAATCCACCGCTGCGTCCGCCTCCCGGACCTGAAGGGGCGTTGGGGGGAGCCTGTCCACCTCCACCGAATCCGTTGCGACCACCTTGGTATCCGACACCTCCACGGGGCCCACCAAATCCACGGTCACCGCGGAATCCTCCCTTGAAACCACCTCTGCCACCAAACCCACCACGGAATCCACCACCATAGCCGCCGGGACCAGAGGGGGCGTTGAAAGAGCCAGGGCCGATAGGTCGAGAGGGCAAGGCCTTGGTGTAACCACGACCTCCGAGACCACCACCAAAGCGACGAGGCTTCCATCCCTTGACTGTACGACCGCGCTCGACGTCTACCAAGACACGGCGGTCCTTGATACGGATACCATCCGTTTCCTTATAGGCAGCTGAAATCGTGACAAAAAAGAAAACTAAGTTAGCATCAAGAAAGTACGGGGATTCGATACCAGTCTGAATTCAGAGTGACAGGCGACTAGATCTGTAGCAATACCTTTCATATCCTTTTCGCGCTCATAGACAATAAAAGCATATCCTCTGTGTGGTTTCTTCGAGCCCTTTGGCGTTACGGTGTCTTTCACGATGCGAATCTGGGAGCACGTTAGTCACTTGTGTAACCCATCAAGCCCACTGGGCTTGTGACTGTACCCGTTCAATAGGACCGAAACGGCCAAACTCCCGTTCCAGGTCCGATTCCTTAACATCGTAGCTCAGTCGAGCGACAAACAGCGTCTTGAACGGATCGCCTCGTGCTTGTTGGTCGTTGGATGGTTCATCTGCAACAAATCATCAGTATTAGCACAGAAAAAGCCCAGAACAGATGCGATAATCATACAACTCTCGAGGCCTTCCGTCAATTGCTTGTTAATGTTCTCTTTCTTCTCCACCTTCTGGCGCAATTTGCGCTGGATCCAGCTTTCCGTAGGTGTATATGGGATCTCTTCCTCGTACTTCTTCACCTCGGGCAGAAACTGCGCAATGCCACCAATGCTACTCTTCTTGCAGTCTTCTGGGGCACGGTTGATGGGGGTGACATAACGCAGAGGCGGGCGAGGTTGGAAGAGCGCCAAAAGCGGAGGGGGGAGCTTGTCCGTCATGTTGTGCCCTCAACCAGTGCTCTGAATAAAGGTGAAAAAAAAAAAACTAATTCAGGGCCTTCAAAGGCATCGAGGATGAAAGGACGAGATGGGGGAGAGGAGATATGGCGGTCGTTTGTCACTTGGTCCTAATAGCAGCGTTGGGGGGAGTTTCGCGTTCCTCCCGTCAGGTGCTTGTCTGCTTCTGGAACCGCTAGTCGCGGTAGCCGAGCTTGCCGCTGCACCCAATGACAGCCCTGTATTGGAGGCGGCCCTGAAAAGTCCCCGAAGGTTGTCCCTCAAGATTGTTGGAAAGCTGTTGACGCCTTCGCTGTGAACATACAAATCCAAGATAGCCGCAATGCCTCTTCAAGGGATCCGGACGGTTACGGCCGCTAGAGTATGTGTTTCTTTGGGATCTTATCCGTCTGTGTCTCCTAGACTAACTTCATCATCCAGAACGGTGTCGGTGCCTTTATCCTACAATGCAAGCGGTTGGATTTCCACTACTGTGACTGGGCTGGTAGCTCCCGGGGCATGGTGTATGTTCTTTTCTCTGTTAGGTTCTTATCTTGAATCCGAAAGTACTAATATTTGTTTGTGATAGTGCCTACCTCAAGCACCACCTTCCTGCCTTCGCGAAAGCAAACCCTCAGATCGAAATCCGGGTATCGCCGCGGCCACACAAGCACCCCGTAATCAAGGGACACTACATCAACGGACGGGAGAAGGCGGTTTGCGTGCGGAATCTCGAGCCTGAGCAAATAGGCAAGAAGGCCGATCTTTTGAAGCAGGCCAGCGGAGAGAAGTTGAAGCGCACCAAGAAGCCCGTCACGAGTATCAACGAGAGTGTCAGAGGCATCTGGTCCCCGTACCACGGTGGCTACAAGTCGGTGTAAAGAGTGAGGGATTGTGCGATCATACGGTGGTGTTCTTTTTCTGGGTCAAATATCATTTCCTATTCGATGTATTATGGGTTACTTCGTCTGTTTTGTGTACCTGCCTTTTGCGAACCCGACTCTGTCTTTGTTTAAACGATATGTATCATATGTACAGAATGTCTTTATTTGATATCCCATGGAAATGGGTGCCCGCTCCTCGTATGCAGCAAGGTAATTATCAGGAAATCAAAGTGTCATTATCCACATGGATGGCCCCGACCGGACCACCACCTATACCCAAAACGCTCTCTATGCCATAAGAGGTAAACACAAACATAATCCCGCCCAACCGAAACAAATGCACTGAGGGTATCAAAATGTTGCTCGTAAATGCCAAGGTAAAAGTTCAGAAAGGAAGCCCCGCCCATGCGCCACCATCATCACATGCTATTATTGTGCAAACGCCAGAGATGGTATGCAGCATCATTATAGATAAATCTGGAACATTGACTTGGGCGAACTAACGGGCTTCCCGCAACCGAATACCTGGCATTTAGAGAAAGGCTTGGCTTTAGATGCGTTCTTTTTCGCCTTCGACAACGATCGGTTCGAGGCACAGTCGCCACAATATACCTATGGTCAAGGTTAGAAGATGATAACGAACGTCGTTAACCCGGGAATCACGTACATGTCCACATTGCTTGACCACCCATATCTGCTGTTTGATTTCGTCACCAGTGCCCAGTTCCATATCACAATTCGGGCATACAACCACATCGTCCTCTGCGACATTTCGGGTGAACCCCTCCGGTGGCGGACTTGGAGGTTTGTAGGCGTTTGCAGGCGTCCTTTGTCGTGTCAGGCCCGTTAGTTGATAGTCTAATCCTAACGGGCCATCCACATCCAAGTTGATCGTTAGATCTATGGCGCCCGCCGGGCCATCTCCGATCCAGAATGACTCCACATCACTTATTGGAGGATGTCTCCGAAATCCTCGAAACGATAGGTCCGGTCTGCCATGGTCTCCAACCCGTACAGGTGGTCTCGGGGATCGAAACTGTAGCATCTGCTGCCACAAGCTGGGCATATAGAAACCTTCATTGCTGCGCGGCGGAGGCGGAGGTGGTGGTTGTGGCGGCGGCGGCAACTGTGGCCGCCTCACGGTGGCTCCGATGAATTCGACTTCGGGGCTGCTGGGGGGTTGTTGCTGGTCATTATCGTCCACATCTTCCTCTAGATCAACCACTTCCGTGAGGATGTCCCTGGGAAATCGGGGAGGACGCGGCCGAGAAGCTTCGTTCGTAGTACGGGACTCTTGCAGTGACGAACTTTGATACGGGATATCGGGCTCATCGGTCAGGTCTATCACATCTTCAGACGGCTGGGTTGTGGCCGGTCGGCGGAGGTCGAGGCCGTCCCCGGGGTATCGCCGAAGCGGTGGCAACGAAGGCCCCGGTGTTGCGGAAAGGGATGATGAAGATGGTTCTCCGGATGGACGTCCTGAAGAGACTTCGGATATCTCGCGGTGAGTTCTCTGGAAGTTGGAGTCGGGCGTCAGTTGAACCTCCAATCCCTTGATCTAGCACGGGGATACCCCGCCTCCATGAGGAGATTCGAGGGACGACGGGGAGATTTGATACGAACCTTTCGGGGGCGAGAGCCCACAAACAAGACACCTGAATCGTCACTCATCCCGGAAACCAATCCGCAAGGGAAGACGACGGTGTTGGAGGGGAAGAGAAGGTGGGAGAGGTGAAAAGGGCGAGGGGAGGGCGGTTTGATGGCAAGAAGAAGGTGAGGTAGTAGTGAGTTTATTAACAGCCGGTGTTAGGCCTCACTTGCGGTTGGTGGAACGCCATGCTTAGTCGTGTTAACGAAGTGGTCTGGGTCCGAGTGCCCTGCGGTCAGGAGTGGCATGTCTCCGGTTCACTTGCTTTTTTGCCTCACTGAACACCGTGAGAGTTTGTCCAGCAGCCACTCTTCAGTGGATGGACGGACCCTCTGGGAGTACTACTGGGTACTAGAAAGAGTTCTGGCACTCGCAGTTCCAGGGTAGTAATAATCCGTGGAAATTCAGAGCCAGGCGGAGTGGTTCAGTTGCGGAGGGGAGACAAATATATTTTAGTCTTATAATTTAGTAGTATGAGGGTTCCCGCCGACTCGCCCAGCACCCCCCGATCACTGCGTCAATGACTTGTCACCATCCATCACCAATTATCACAGCAGTAGGTAGTAGGTCTGCTGACAACTCAGATTCTGGTGGTTTCTATGCTCATGATAATCCCATTATAATCCGGGTTCGTTATTGTTGCCAGGTGGCTTCTCCTTCCTTTATTCTTTGGGTTTGGTCTGAGAGAAAATCATAAAGACGCCGGTGACGAAAAAGAAACAACAACAAATAAAGAAGAAGAAAAGAGAAAAGTAGCACCGACAGCTAGAAATACAGAACAACAAATGGAATTTTCACTCCGTATCCATAGGTAGGTATCATAATTACTGTGCCGTCAGCTCCGTCACGCCTCCCTCGCTGTTCAACGCCACGATAGTCTGGGCGGCAGAGCCCCAAGCCGCCGCAACCGCGGGCACCGCGCTCCGCAAGGGCTCGGACCACGACTTGGAGGCCTTGGTGTATTGATGCACCGTCAAGCCACTAGGTCCAGCGGTCAGAAGGAACTGTCCAGTGTAATCCCAGTTAATCGAGTCAACCTGACTGCCCGTCTCCAAAACCTTGCTCTCCTGTGCGCTACGGAGATCCCAGATGGATACAGTGGTCGAGTTCTGGGTAACCGCGGCCAGGAAAACACCATTCTCGGAGAAGAAAAGGGATTTCACAGGGCTAGACATGGCGAAAGTGGCAGCGGACGCGCCAGTCTTGATATCGAAGATTTTGATTTGCCCGTCCACGCCACCAGCAGCAACCAGGTGGCCGTCAGGGTGAATCTTGACCGAGAGAAGAGCTGAAGAAGAATGAAAGGTCAGTCATGTCCAGACATACAATTTATCATCGGGCTACTCACAAGCGTCACTGAAAATCTGAGTGATTACCGAGTTCGTCGTGAGGTCATACAGAACATAGCTCTTGTCAGCGCCAACCGAGGCAACAATGTCACCGGTAGCATGCACGGCAAGCGCGGTTGCGGCTCCCGCATGAGAGTTGAAGTTGGCGACCTCGTTGCCGTTCTCGAAGACCTTCACAGAGCCCGTAGACGATGCCACAATAGCCTTCTCGCCTGCCCAAACGGCATCGGTAACTGGCCCGTTTGCCTGCAGGTTCTGAACAACCTGCTTCTGGGGAATGGAATAGATGCCAACGGCACCGTCCGCGCCGCCGATGAGTGCCAGCTCTCCGGACGAGTTGATGGCGAATGCCTTGCTGCCGGGGTAAAGAGGGTTGGAGCTCTCCGTAGGCTTGTATGTGGAGAGGGCTTCAGCCGTAGCCCAGCCTTCCGGAACCGGGCGCTTACGACGTGTCTTGGACAGCCTGTAGATTGTTAGATATACCGAACACAGGAGAATCCTATACATAGCAACTTACGATGCCTGTGTGCTCTCAACACGTGCCAGAACGGCCTCGGGCAGACCGGTCGAATCAACCTGCATAGCCTCACCACCGGAGGCAGCGGCACTCCTGGCACCAACGGTGACCTTGGATAGGGCATCACGGGCCTCGTCTCTCTCCTTTGTCAACCGAGCAATCACGCGAACGGCAGCATCGTGCTGGTAGAGCGCGGAGCTGAATTCCTGGCGGGTCTGTGCCAAGGTCTGTCGCAATGTGTAGGTTTCGAGAGCCAGGGCATCCCATTCTTCTTGGAAGACACTGAGCAAGGAAGGAATGGATGTGAGGGTGGGAGGTCTGGGGCGGACGACGCGCTGGGATTTGACGTCAATGAGGTCGTCTGTGGAGAGCTCCTCTCCATTCACGGGATCCTTTCCATTCTCCGCGATGTAGGCTTCGATCAGTCGCTTTTCAAAGACGCTGCCTAGTCGAGCATTAGCTGCATTACGTCGCATCGATGCTTTCGAGGTTGAGACATACCGCTCTTGGGCGAGACGACGGGCACTTGCGGTGCCTCTCCCGAAACTGTTGCACATCAATCATCAGTTATTGGACCTGCAAGAGCAATTCATTAAACAACTTACTTGCGCAGAGCATGGTATTTGATGTATGTTGGTTGATGGAGGACGAGGTTGGTTCGACGCGAAGCTTGCGGCTCCTCTGGACTTTTCGACCTCGCCCGATGCGGATTAGCGCACCGCAGCCCACTGATTCCTTGGCGGGCCAGCCAACTTCTTTTGTCGGAGTATACCAAGAACGCCTTTTATTTCTATTCCATGCTCATATCTAATTGGCGTTTGTGTCTGTAGCTTGCGAGCGAGGCATCTATAATCTGTTACTGCGCTACAGTCAATGAGGAATATCTCTATACGAATGCATTGTGCATGGTGTCCTACTAAAGAGCATCACGTCATACTGCCCACATTCGCTCGCTATTGAGCTGCTGTAACATCAGTCCTACTATTTTCTTGACTATTATAGGATAGAGAAAGGCTGACAGTGACTCTGCGGCTGATCTAGCCATGTCATTCAAATCAAAGGACCTCGCATATGGTATGTTGTTTCGTCTCATACTCCTCGTTGACATCGAACTAACCATCTTCCAGAGGCGAAGCAGCCTGCCTTCTTACAGAGACTGAAGAACCAATACGGAGATACCTCTGGTCGCCTCGAAAGACCCATTGCACGGCCGCGGAAACCGAGGGAAGACAATGACGACGATGGCCCTACCTACGTTGATGAAGAGAGCAACGAGATCATCTCCAAGGAGGAATATGAAGCCTTAGTCCGTGGCGAGGATAACAAAGATACCGAGAACTCCAATAAAGATACACAAGAGCCTGCGACGGGCGAAGAAGGTAAAGCGAATACCCAGGCCGAGGCACCTGTCTCCAAACAGAACGTGGCCGAAATAGGAGGGCCACGGAAAAGGAAACAGGCCAAAGTAGTGGGAGAAGACACTCCCAGTGAAGAGACCGAGAAGGTACAAAAGAAAGAACCAGGCACTCGGAAACCAAAGCAAAAAAAGAAGATCAAGCTATCCTTCGATGAAGATGACTCATAATGACAGGATTTGAGTCACTATATACTACAATAATGATACCCTATCATGGTTGAAGAAGAGATTTTGTATCGCTTGTTCAGCTTTCTTTTTGTCCTCCACATTTTTGGTAGATACATACTTAGTTAGGATGATACTATAGAATGATGACGATGATTGAACAGAGAGAGTATAGTACTCGGGTCCGCTGTAGTCATAATAAAATCGTAACAATTAATAATCAAGGGCTTGGAACCTTTACTGACCATGTAAAAGAATCTTCACATATAGTATATTATCCACATCTCCTACTGTCCAGGTCTGGCGTGAAAATTCCACTCTTTAAAGAAGAGGGATAAGGCAAGTTCTTCAAGCTCGACAATTCCCGCGACAAGTTTTTCTACCAGATTCCGCAGTTCGCGGCACGGAAACCCAACGAAAGAGCAACTTTCCGGCCTGGATTTTACCTTGGACTCTGGGAGCTGTTTGGCAGCACCAGCAATATCCCAAAATGCCTGTTGTTAATGTGGATGATCTCGTCCGTCTGCAACGGAGGCCCGATGACATCCGCAATGCAAGTTACCCCTCCATCCATCCCACTTCCATCATCATCTTTGCTCCGTCCGCCATCACTAACAGCCATCCCAGATCTGCATTCTCGCCCACGTCGTATGTACTTTCTGCTTGTCTGAGTCTACCAGACTACATCCGTCTATGAATTTCTCTCCACTCACACACCTATTTAGGATCACGGTAAAACATCCTTGACAGATAGTCTGATCGCCACCAATGGCATCATCTCACCGAAGCTGGCGGGCAAGATCCGTTATCTGGATTCCCGTCCAGACGAGCAGCTCCGTGGAATCACCATGGAGTCTTCTGCCATTTCGCTTTTCTTCTCCATGATGCGCCGTCCTGCCCCCGACGCTGCGCCCGTGGCGAAAGAGTACCTGATCAATCTGATCGACTCGCCGGGCCATATCGATTTCAGCAGTGAAGTGTCGACCGCATCCCGTCTTTGTGATGGTGCCGTGGTGCTTGTGGATGCCGTAGAGGGCGTCTGCAGTCAGACCGTCACGGTGCTGCGTCAAACCTGGGTGGAGCAATTGAAGCCCATCCTTGTCATTAACAAGATCGATCGACTGGTCACGGAGCTGAAGATGAGTCCCAGCGAGGCTTACTCCCATATGAGCAAGCTGCTGGAGCAGGTCAATGCCGTCATTGGTAGTTTCTACCAGGGTGAACGGATGGAGGAGGATCTTCAATGGCGAGAGCGCATGGAGGAGCGTGCTAATGAATCTGCGGCTCGCTCCAAGAAGCAGGAGCAGGATGACGAGCCTACGGCCGAGTATGAGGAAAAAGACGATGAAGATCTTTACTTTGCACCAGAGAAGAACAACGTCATCTTCTGTAGTGCTGTCGATGGCTGGGCTTTTACAATCCGTCAATTTGCCGCGATTTACGAAAGAAAGCTCGGAATCAAGCGCACTGTCCTCGAAAAGGTGCTCTGGGGAGATTACTATCTCGATCCCAAAACGAAGCGAGTCCTGGGTTCGAAGCACTTGAAGGGTCGTGCGTTGAAGCCCATGTTCGTTCAGCTTGTCTTGGACAGTATCTGGGCGGCATACGAGGCTACAACAGGCACAGGCACAGGAAAGGGGTATGTAAACCGGTATATACGTGATGTACATCTGCTAATCTGAACAGTGACCCGGCTTTGTTGGAAAAGATCACCAAGTCCCTGAACATCAACATTCCGCAATACATCCTGCGCTCACGCGATCCTCGCAATATCATGACCACGCTGTTCTCGATGTGGCTGCCTTTGTCTACTGCCGTGTTGGTGTCTGTCATTGAATATCTTCCTAGTCCGCCAACGGCTCAAGCAGCTCGGTTGCCAGCGATGATTGAAGAATCTCCTGGCTCCCAGTTCGTGGATCCCAAAGTGAAGGATGCTATGGTCAACTTCAAGACCCAAAAAGATGAGCCTGTCATTGCCTACGTCAGTAAAATGATGTCCATCCCGGAGAGCGAGCTGGGATCGAGCAAGAAGCGAGCTGGTGGCACCATGTCGGCCGACGAAGCTCGGGAGATTGCTCGCAAGAAGCGAGAGGAGATCGCCAAAATGCAGGCAGAAGCCAACGGCGACCAGACAGATGAGTATACTCGCATAACATCCGCCTTTGAAAGGACGACCATATCAGATGATCAACCGGCCGAGAGCGAGGAGAAGGATGACCCTGAACATCTCATTGGATTTGCCCGTCTATACTCCGGAACCCTCTCAGTGGGAGACTCGGTGTACGTCCTGGCACCCAAGTTCTCGCCGGAGAGCCCGCATGCCAGCCCGGTACCCCAGAAGGTTACCGTCACCGATCTCTACCTCCTCATGGGCCGCAGCTTCGAACCTCTCCAGTCGGTACCGGCAGGTGTCGTCTTCGGCATTGGCGGTCTCGCAGGCCACGTTCTCAAGACGGGCACTCTGTCCTCGCAGCTCGAGGGCAGCATCAACTTGGCTGGTGTCTCTCTCAACACGCCACCCATCGTGCGAGTCGCCCTAGAGCCCGTGAACCCAGCAGACCTCAGCAAGATGGTAACTGGTCTACGTCTCCTCGAGCAAAGCGACCCTTGTGCGCAGTACGAGGTTCTCCCCAGCGGCGAGCACGTCATCCTGACCGCCGGTGAATTGCATCTCGAGCGTTGTATCAAGGATCTTCGCGAACGCTTTGCCAAGTGTGAAATCTCAACCGGTCAGACCATCGTACCCTACCGGGAAACCATCATCAGCGCCCCCGAAATGGCAGCTCCCAAGAACCCCGAGCTCGGACGAGGCGGCGTCCAGACCACCTCCTCATCCAAGCAACTGACCATGCGCCTCCGCGTGGTTCCGCTCCCCGAAGCCGTCACGGACTTCATCTCCAAGCACGTGGGAACCATCAAGCGCCTGCAAACCGAGAAGCGCACAGCAGCCGAGACCCAGTCCAGCGAGGGAGAACAATCCACCAACGGAACCACCACGGCCGAAAGCTCCCAGCAAATGGAAGCCAGCGACGCCACCGGCGAGGCCCGCGAAGCAACCTCCCTCTCCCTGAAGGACTTCAAGCAAGAACTGGCCAAGCTGTTCGAAGACGAATCAACCGACGACAAGGGACGCTGGAAGGACGTCGTCGAGCGGATCACAGCCTTTGGCCCACGACGCGTTGGACCCAACATCCTGATCGACGCAACAGAGGTCAACACCTGCGAGAAATTGTATGTCCCCCTCCTCCTTAACCCCCATATCACCAGATCCCTCCCCAACTAACACCCGTAAACAAAAGCCTCCTCGAACCCCACCAACAACAACCCCAAATCAACACCGACACCAGCACCCGCGAAGCCCTGATGGTCCGCGACCTCAGCGACAAGATCGCGCACGCCTTCCAACTCGCAACCGGCCAAGGTCCTCTCTGCCAAGAACCCATGCAAGGCATCGCCGTCTTCCTCGAATCCGTGTCCATCAACACCACCACCACCGACGAGGACCTCGACCTAGGCCGTCTAACCGGCGAAGCCATCCGTCTCGTCCGCGACAGCATCACCCAGGGATTCCTCGACTGGAGCCCTCGAATCATGCTAGCCATGTACAGTTGCGAGATTCAAGCCTCGAGTGCGTAACCCCTTCCCCCAATTTAATCGCAAAGCAACTGACAAAAGTTGTAAAATAACAGCGGAAGTCCTCGGTCGCGTCTACGGCGTAATAACCCGCCGCCGCGGCCGTATCCTCTCCGAAGTAATGAAAGAAGGCACACCCTTCTTCACCATCCTATCCCTACTACCCGTGGCAGAATCATTCGGCTTCGCGGAAGAAATCCGTAAGCGGACGTCGGGGGCAGCGCAGCCTCAATTGATCTTTGCGGGCTTTGAGGCGCTCGATGAAGATCCGTTCTGGGTTCCGGCGACGGAGGAGGAATTGGAGGATTTGGGTGAGTTGGCGGATAGGGAGAATGTGGCGAAGAGGTATATGGATAATGTGCGACGGAGGAAGGGGTTGGTTGTGCAGGGGAGGAAGTTAATTGATGCGGAGAAGCAGAAGACGTTGAAGAAGTAGTAGTTCTTCTCTTTCATCGAATTTTTGTTTGGGGGGTATATAGATGTTATTTTGTTATTTAGGGGGGGGGGGGGGGGAAGAAGGAAGAAGAAAAGAGAAAAGCTGAATTGGATTATAGGTTTTTGAATTAACTACGATAAAGGTATACATGTATGTATGTGCCCTTGTATGTAATACTTCCCAATCCACATAAAAATCAGAATAAGGAAGCTCTAAACAGGGGTCGCAAAGTGAGTAAAACCTTGCGCAGTAACCGTTCATCTACCTCACATGACAAACACAGCTTAGCATTGGGAAAGCCAAAGCCATGTATACTAAGGAGGAAAACAAGAAAACAAAGACGTCCTAAGGTAGTAGCAAACTGGAAAGCAGAAAGTGTGAAAGTGGTTTCATTTGTATCCCTCACAAGGATCAAAATTATGTTAGGATGTCCGCGATGCGGGTTGGCAGTCATGTCATGTCATACGACTAGCCGATGATGTGAGTACATCACCTGTTGAGATTATGTACAGTCATGTCGAGTGTAGTAATATGCTTGCTCGGCGGCAGTGATATGTACTCGCGCGCTTCCGCGACTGTTCTTCAGAGCAAAGCAAGCTGTCAAGCAAGCAGGAGCCGGCCTAATCATATGCGAGCGCGAGCGCACCGACCTCAGGTACTGCTGCAAGGGCCTGACTCCTTCGGGATCAGTCACTCCGCCAATCCGGCTACCCCTCTAGGCGCATACCGTGGCAGATAGTAGACTGTGGTTGTTAATGATGAGCGCCATAGTCTAGCCTAGCCAGCCATCATCAAGGCTCGGCCAGACCAACGCATCATACATAATTGCTGGTATCATCAATTCCTCTCACCCCAGAAAAAGGTGATAGAACCTCTCAAAACGGCCTAGCAACCTTCCTCAACTCCGCAACCCCAGTAACAGGATCTCTCATTTCCTTCCAGCTAACAGGGAACATCATATTACCCGACTCACTGCGGGCCATAACGACACCCAGATCATTGCGTGCGGTGGTAAGATAGTAGAAGCTCTGGTCACCGAGGGAGATGACCGTTCCACGAACAATATCCCCAACACGGAACATCTCATCCATGACGACGCGGTCTTTCTCAACAGCGCGCACATCCTCCTTGCGGATCAGCGCCTGGAAGCGAAGTTCATCCGAGTTGCTGTGGTTCTCTGGATTAGCCGCGGACGAGAGAATAGCTTCGATGTTGTCATTGTCCGATGTAGTCTGTGCGGGGTTGAGAGGTTGGGAACTAGCAGATTCGTCGAGCACAACTAGAATAGACACGGTGGCTTGTCGCTTCTGAACGCGGGTAACGCGCGCCAACACGACCGAGTCGACGGCGGGGAGGGTGTTGTATCTCAGTTTGGGCTTTCCAGTGGTGGCTGGTTTGGCGGACGCCTTGGTGCTGGGTGCGGGAGCAGCTGCCTTCTTGGGGCCTGTGCGGGAGACACTCAGGATGAGCTTTGCTTTGGAGCTGGGTTGTGCTTGATCAACGACCACGGGGCCTGCGATGGAGGCATAGATGGTTGCGTTCTGCACGTGTGTACCAGGACCGGCGGCATATGAGGCAATTGAGCCCAGGCGCTGGCCTGGGATGGCCAGAGTGGGTAGTGCAGTGGCCATTCCAGCGCTGCGTCTTACAGACTGGATACTAGAAAAGGAAATAAAGGAGGAAGAGAAGGGAGAGGCCCGGAGATAGTCGAGCTTAAGTTGTCGACGCGAGATGCTGGCAAAGCTTTTCTTTTTCGGCGGGACCCGGTCTCGGCCGGAACAACACTCTTTCCGGACAGCTAGCACGGGCCAATCAAGAGAGAGGCCTTTGTATACATCTTGTGTTACTGAGACAGGTCATGTAGACAAAGTATCTACAACGAAAGCTATTATGATCATGGTATCAATGTATTGCAAGTATAGACTCGAAATCCTCTAACGGTGAATACAGTATTATGCGCAGACACAATTACAAGTCGGCACAGCGTCATTTCTCCCTCGGAGAAGTGACTATAGACAACAAACGGACAACGATCTCAAGCACACCGAATGCTCGCTGACACGAATCAAAAGAGACACCGAAGCACATGCCCGCTTAACACCTTGGACAGCTAGACATCAATGGGTCAACACATTGGAACACAAGGCGACTCAACTTATAGATAAGAACGGCAGTGGGAACACAGATATAGAAGAAAAGAAGTCGGTCGAAGATAAATAGGGAAGTGAAAGAGGTTGGTTTAAAGCCATACACAGGTCGTTAGATGAGGTGAGGATCGAGGTCAAGGGAGGAGTTGTTTAGGCTTCTACAAGCTTGTGACCGTTCCCAAGGAATTCGAGGCATCGCCGAGCCAGCGCAATGACCTCGCCTTCCCCGTCTTCAGCATCCTCCTCGTCTGATTCGATATTCTTGTCGGAGATGGACTTGACCATCTGAACGATATCGTCAGACTTGGCGATATATCCGATGAGTCTTTGATCCTCTGATTCCAGAAGTTGAAGCAGAGTCCAGATGGCGATATGCTGGAATGTCGGGTCGCCACTGGCGAGGAAGCGGTTGAGGTAGCCGTGAATACCTCCATTCGGGTCTGCCCAATCACGCACAAAAATGGAGTAGTCACCCACTGCATTCACAACTGTTAGTATATGGAGGGGCAGGTTAACACGTTTGCACACGGTGGGGGGCATACCTTTAGAGGAGAGATTTCCCAGCGCCGCAGCGCTGTTCCCTTGCACTTCGATGCTTTCCGATTCCGTCAAAGGAATCAGGACGTCAAACACCCCCAGATTAAGGAGATGCGGTTTTAGCTCGTCGCTCAGAGCCAGAACCGCGATCGCAGCAGTCATTTCCGACTGAACGCTGAGGGGCACACGGAGGACGAGGTCCTTGCACTTCTGAACAGCGCCGGCCTGCAGGACCAGCTCCTTGTTTCGATCCGAGCTGGCGGCAAGGTTCCGGAGGGTCGAGATGGCGTGACACTGAATCTCTTCATTGTCGGTCGATCCCAGCAGGTCCACCAGGGGCTTGAGGAAGCCCGCATCGATGATAGGCGATTCGTTCAGGGGATGGATGGAGATGTTGCGGATACACGCGACGGCGGATAGGATGAGAGGAAGGTAGGATGACTGCAGCAGTCGCAAGAGGGGTGGAAGACCCTTGGCTCGAACAATTTCGAGCTGGTATTTCTCGTCCGAGGCAAGGTTGCGCAGTGCCAACGCCGCTTGGCATTGGACCTTGGGTGTTGACGAATCCATCAGGTGCACCAGTGATTGAACCAGCCTGGACTCGGTTTGAGCCAGGCGCTTGCGATTCGACGAGTCGACAGCGATGTTACTGAGGGCGGTAGTGCAGTAGTATTGTACATCCACATCGGGAGAAGAGAGCAATTGAACAAGAACGGGGATAGCGCCGGCGTTGACAAGTTGTTGTCGGTTATCATCTACGGCGGATCGCAATGTTAGCAGAGCCACTCCGTCTGGGGATCCTCGCAACCTACCCGAGTGTGTCATATTCAGCAACGCCCCCGTGGCATTTCGTTGTACACGCATGTCCTTCGACTTTGCTAGACGGATCAGCGGGCCCAAGGCACCGGATCGAGCGATCTTAGCCTTATTATCCTCATGGGTAGCCAAGTTTGTAATGCAACCGACCGCATTGCATTGCACTTCCACATTTGGTGACATCATCTGCCGTATTAGAGGAGCCAGTCCTCCCAGAGCGACGATCAGCACCTTATTGTCCGCTGCGACCGGTCAGTAATCCTGCTGGCGCGAGGAATCAATGAAAAGCGAAACCCACCATTTACAGCCAGGTTGCCTAGTGCTGCACTAGCAGCACGTTGAACTTCAATGTCCGAACTCTGCAACAAGAAGAGGATGGGCTCCAACGTGTCTCGATCGACCTCGCGCACATCTGCAAATACCCCCGGATGTTAGCCACCATCGGCACAACAAGGTCTGTGCGTATCAGCCGTACCTCTTTCCGTGATTTCAGCGAATGTCAGACTGGCACTTCGTTGGAGATCGACATTGTCGGAATAGACGAGGGTGCTCAAGGCCCGAAGGGGTTCACCGGCGAAGAAGTCGGTCTCGGTCCTCTATCAAGGAATACTTGTAAGTAAAAAGCGAACGTCGGGTGGAGTAGAAACAGCACTGAAGGGTGCGACAGCAATGAACATACGTTTTCAAGGTAACCCAGAAGATCGGAAACTGCTTCGCGCTCGTTGTCTGCCAAAGTGGTTTCATAAATGCCATCCCTTGAGCGGCCTCCGATCGGGCCGAGACAAGCTGAGATATGGCACCATCGGTCAACTGTCGAGAAGCAGGACAGACAGGCGTTCGTGATTCCGCTCATGCCTTCAGAATGGGGAGCCCGCAGGACCAACAGACGGCCCCGCCAGCGTTTGAACAGGAAAGCAAAGAGTAGGCGGAAGATACGCCGAATGGATTGGGAGAGGAGAGGATCAGGTCGGGCTCCTTGAATGCCAGCAAGCTAGTCGCCTTCCCTTATTCCATCCAACAAAGACTTGCAGCGGAGACGGAACAGACGTGGGAACGGGAGGCGGTCGGGGGGAAGAGCAGGCAGAGTTTCGAGGGAAGGACCGAATGGCGATTGAGGGAAACGCAAGAAGGGGACGGGAAGAAGAGAGGCTCTGGCAGAGGGAGGTACGGGAACACAAGGCCCGGCGCGTGATGGTTTCCTGAGAGGGGAGAGGAAAGTAGGAGGGATGGATGGATAGATAGTACGAGGAGTGGTTTGCTGTAGCCGTAGTGTACTAGTAGTCGACGTCGTAAGTAGGAGGAAGGGGAGATGAGACGGAATGAGGTTGGTTGGTTGGTTAGGTTAGGTTAGGTCAGGTTGGGTAAGTAGCTTCCGGTTGCTTCAAGGGACCCTTAGCACGTTGCTTTCCTCTTTGGAAAACATACAATGGAAAGAGTCAATGGAGGGGAGAGCAATATGACAAGGGGGAGGGGGAGATGGCGGAGAATGGAAGACCCAGGGGGATAGAGGTTCATCACCAGAGTGGATTCTGGGATGGGTTGGATGGAGAGAGAGAGTGAGTGAGCAGAGATGAAAGAAGCAAGCCAGTCTGGTTGTGAGTTAGTTTCACGCAGTGGTAATGGTTAGTTACTGTTACTGTAGTTTAGTGGTAAAGTAAGAACCCGCGCCAGCACCACTTTGGAGTCGGGCAAATGATAACGCGCAGAAAAAAAGCAGGCAGGGGAAGCTCCAAATTCACCAACCACCTTATTCTGTTCATTTTAATTTTAGGTGATGATATTACTCAACCTTGAAATATACTATTGCTCAACTAGATTCATAACTCTGTCGTCTAAACTACTACTACTATCTATATATATCGTAGTTAGTACAGTACGTAGTAAATCTGTCACCGCCGTTATCAACCAGAAGGTCCCATCCCCCGACCGGGGACATCCCCGGTTGTTTATCTTTTGCTCGTCATTGCTTTGCTTTTCGCTTGCTCGTTTTCTGTCGGGCGGCCCCACTGGGCAACAGCTCTGGATGGAACCACTCGTCACTAGTCCGTTTAGTATCCATGCCCGTCATTTAGTTCATAAGAGAGAGAGAGAGAGCGCGCGAGAGAGAGCTCTGTTGCTCGGCCTCACCTTCTTTTGCTCTCCCTCCCTCCCTCCCTCCCTCCACCTCCACCCCCCAATTCCCAGCCACATTCCCGCCATATCGTCTAGGATTCTGAAACTAGTCCCATGAGTGTTCCCACCTTTGATGCAGACATTGAAGCATGTCATCAACCGATCTCAACAAATTAAACTAATTAGCAACCGTTCTATACCAATTTCATTGTTCGCATGCTCATCTGGCAAACATCATGATGGGGTCAAGAAATAAATACCTCTCTGGTTCCACTTCGGAAGCTAACCATCGCCCCAGAGCACAGTTCCTACACCGTAGATTCAGCTGCTACGGATTTGAACATACATAATTTCTTAAAGCAAGACCCAGGTAGTAGCAGTTAACTATTAGTAGTAGTATAGCCCGGTCTACACATTTTAAGCTTTAGCAGCAACAAAGGGAAAAGAATGTTAAAGAAAGCTACCTACCCGTCTGCATGAATGAACAACTACTACTTACCAGCTTGCAGGATCAGAATCATTTATCGCTGTAGTTCCTAGAAGCTGTTAAGTTGCTATGACTGCCTATTTTCAGGTATTTCGTATAGTAGCAAGTAGTATCAACTCAGAAAAGCATCCTGAGTGGACAGTGAGGCGACTATGCTGATCACCGGACAGCATTCGGGGAAGATGATCAACATCCATGCTTGGACCAACAACTATCTACTAACTATTTCGGATCAATCACCTGTCAACCATCCATCATCATCCTCCTCCACCATCACCACTACCACCATCATCATCATAGCATCCCCAAAACTAGTGGCATGCCAATGGATCAGTCCTTCAAAAGTACATGCACAACATGGCCTGATTTATATTTAAATTCCAGTCATCTGGGATCTGTCACGGGTACAGCCGTGTTGCCCGTGGCGGAACTAATATCTGGTTATCTGGTTAGTAAGTAGAAGTAGTTGTATCGGCTGACAGGGATAGATTAGTTAATGAAACTTTGCTTGGATGATGGGATTGCATTGGATTCCACGCTGAGACTTGTTGCGACGCATTTACCCCTGCATCTACCTGTGCGTGCTTTTGAAACCATATCCAACACTACCGGTTTATCTACTGTGCATCTACATACTCAATATATTTCTCAGGGTACTACATGCAACGCCAGGGAGATACACCAGAAAAAGAGGGAGAGAGAGTGTGTGTGAGTGGATGTATGTGACTATGAGTGTTGCCACCACATAGACCACGTGAGTGGAGATGGGCAAAAACAGTCTTCTTAATATTCACAACTATCAAAAATGGCTTGCATCACATGAAGGCCCGGGCCCATGATCCCGATGCCAATCACTGGCCGGCTGAACCATCCATTCGACAAACCTCAGAGGCTTACAGTAAGCAGTTTTTCCCGTTGTGCAAATGATGTCTTTTCCTTTCTCCCTGCCCCGCAAAGTTAAAATGTCCATGGGCAGCGCAAAAGTGCGGAGGAGCCCACGAGATCCCCGTCCTTAGCATGGCCTGGTATCGAATCAGTCTTCCCTTCAATGCTCCCATTGTGGATTTGCTCAGGACACATCGACCCCGTTCCGTGCGTCAGTTGTGACGCAGTCGTACAGATTCAGATATATACAAAAAAAGGGATACTTCGAGTCTACTATCTACATCGTGCTATATCGACTATCCCGGTCACTATGCAGGGTGCAGGCGATGGAATGCTGGGGCAAAGGGGAGAGGCCAAACCATTAGTTACGGAGGACTAAGTTGCCACTGTCAGACAGAGGCTCCTGGAATAAACCTGCAGAAAAAGGATATTCCATGTTCCGGACGTTTTATTTGATCTCAGACCGGGAAAAACGGCTGAAGGCATCGGCATTGCTTTTGCGCCCTGCAACCCGGGCGACCAATTTGATACTTGCTCCACTCCCCGGAGTTACTTAAAAGATGCCTGCAGTCAATCCATCGACCTGCAGTCAGACAACAGCTCCGATCGGGGAGATTTATGTTCCTTGAGGACCGAGGACCTGTAGTAGACTATGTACTTCATGACGAACCGACTGGTAGTTTGACGCTAAATGGAAGCCCAGTGGAATCATCTCAGACGGGCAACCATGGTAGCCCGTGTTTCGGGGGGCGCAGGCTCACTCGTCCAACTAATAACAGGACCCTCACTGTAATTCGCCGGTCCGCCCTGGATGGATGGAGTTTCTGGATAGAGCAGACATGGTGCGATGCGCCTCCTCTCTCGAAGTATCAAGCTGGTCCCTCTTCGAATGGGGAACCGGTCGTCTCTAGTCGTAGAATTAGTACGTACTACTTCCACTACTACTAGATACTTATTGCAGACCTGCGCATTCCGTTTGCCCCACAGAGGAGAAGATCTTACCATTTGACTCGCATGGTTGCCATTCTATTCCGGCATTCCAACCCAAGGGAGACGAAGAAGTAAGAGAAATAGCAACACTTTCCCACCAGCCTTGACTTGGATATTTCCTCCTCCCCTCTTTTTCTGTTCAGTGCGCATTTTATCTTTACTAGTTCCTCCCTTTCTTTCCCCTTCCTTTCCTCCCCTTAGAACCTGTCAAGGATAACTTCTTCTTATTGTCATCCTCCCCTACATCACTGGCCCTGATCGTCTGCCCTGATTCCCAAAGAGAACCCAGATTTGCCTCCGGATCCACCTTCGAACCATTGCAATGCGCCGAAGCAGCGGACAACTCTAAACCTCACTCCTCTGTCCCCGACTGAACCTGAACGGAAGAATTTGAGGACTGTCAAAAAATTAAGATCCCAATTTAGGGCTGTCGCGTCGATCGCACGAGGTGACAGACAACTAGAAAGTGGACAGGAACAGCAGATTCGAGAAGCGATTGTCTCGTGGACCTCTGTTTCCCCCGATCAGCTAACTAAATTAACAACCGACCGAGTTGTCACTCTCGACGTGGGTTGATAATCGAGAGAAGAGAGAGGAGGGTGACTGAAGGAAGAAACAAAAGAAAAAGGATCAGAAGACTTGATAAATCCGATCCCTTTCCCACTGGATTTCCCCAAGGATTAAATCAGGAGAAGCAAAACCCGATTGATTTGACTCTGCCTTGATTTAATTTTGATTCACTTCTTATTTTCCTTTTCTTTCTTTGTTTCTTTTCTTTTCTTTTTATTTTTTTTCTTCTTTTCCTTTTTCCCTTTCCAATAATCCCAACCCCATGTCTGTGTCTGCATCCGTTTCCGCCTCCGCCTCCTCCAACCTCCCATCCGATTCTCGCTCCTCAGGACCCCTCCGTCGTCTGAGCCAACTGCGTGCCTATACGCAGCAGCATTTCTCCTCCTCCGCTTCCTCTTCCTCCTCCTCGCACCCTCCTGCCTCGTCATCATCGACCAACGGTCCCCGCATCTCGCGTCGTCATACCCTCAGCAGTCGAGTTTCCTGGTTTTCTCCCGCCTCCACTGGGACCGAATCTTCGCAACTCTCGCCTGTGGGGTCTCGCTCGTCGGGCCCATGTCCCGAAAGTGAGCAGCCATCCACTCTTGCCCGCTATAGTGCGGTTTTTTTCCCCAGCTACCGCGGCCTCGAGCTCGACTTGCGTTCCTCCCGCCAGTCCGACCTGTCCAGCTCTTCTCCTTCCAACAACCAATCCGGTGGCCGTCAGACGACAGCTCAAGGCACGACCATGGCGCGGCCCAGAGGTGCCTCTCAGGCGCTGGATGCGAGACCCGATCTCGATGGCACCAGTCCATCGGCCTCGTCCAACCTTCACGCGGGAGCCCTCGACTCGTCCGACCCCGTGATGTCGGAGAACCCGTCGACTGCGTCCCCGCGACCGAAGCAGAAAGCGACCATCCGCTTCTTCCCCCATCAAGACACCCATCAAAGCTCCCGACCCTCCTTGCCCTTCATCCCCGTCTCGCGAACGCTACCGTCTGAAAGTTGCGTCATCCGAGTTGGTCGGTACTCAGAACGCGATGGCCTGCCCGTGGCCAACCCAACAGACCCCTCCGATGCCCCGGTCGGGTTCAAGTCGAAGGTTGTGAGTCGGAAACACTGCGAGTTTTTATACCTGAACGGCCAGTGGCATATCAAGGATGTTGGAAGCTCGTCGGGGACGTTTCTCAACCACATGCGCTTGAGCCAGCCGAACATGCCGTCTCGGCTGTATACTGTGAAGGATGGAGATATTGTGCAGCTGGGGATTGACTTTCGGGGAGGCGAGGAGATGATTTTCCGCTGCGTACGTATACGGATCGAGTGTAATCGGTCCTGGCAGCAGCAGCCGAATGAATTCAAGTATGATTTATCTGGCCTCGAAGCTGGAAGCTGTTTGTGTGGACTACCGGCTAATGAGCGATGCAGTAAAAACACCGAGAGTCTGATTCGGAATTTGGGCAAGGGAGATACAGCGGATTATTCTGGATGTCGGGAATGCTCCATTTGTCTTGGTTCTGTTCTGGTTCGTTCCTCTCCTTCTGGCGGATCGCACAACTGCAGGACACAGCTAATTTGTTTGAAGCGGCCTTACCAGTGTTTGTTCATGGCAGCCTGCGCCCACGTCTGGCATTACAAATGCGTTAGTCGTCTTATCCACACGCCAGACTACCCCATGTTCCAATGTCCCAACTGCCGTGCCTACACCGATTTAAGCGCCGAGGTCGATGATACAAACGATTTTGACGAGGAGGACGAGAAGAAGGACACGCCAGAGGACAAGCAGGACACCACCGATGCATCTCGGTCACAAACGAATTCGCCCCAGTTGGAGGCTCAGCCAGCCCCTTCTGGCGACGAACCCCGCCATGACAACCTGCCGGCCGAGGCAGGCCTCGCTGCCAATATTGAGAGCATGCGTCTGCAAGACACAGATGCATCCGATGATGCGCGGCGTCCCCCCGCTCCCACGTCCAACAATGATGGCACTCCTGCTATTGCCGATAACGAAGTCCCTGGCTGGCAGTCCGTGACCCAGTCACCCAATGCTCTACAGGCCCGCCAGTCCCACCTGCGTGCGGACACCCCTGTCCGGTCGGAGTCATCTGAGGACAATCCTCTGACGCCATTGAACGATTCGGGGCCCCTAGCCCTTGACGGCCGGGCCGCCATGCCCTGAAGCAACGAGGAGTGTGGTCGCGACATTATTGGATAGATCGCTCCGATCCGCTCCTCAATCAGCTGTATTTGGCTTCTAGGTTTGGACAACCCTTGCATCCAGTCCACAGGACTGAGTCGTCATTGATATGTGCATCCCTATTGTCGCTTTGGTTTGATATCTTTTGTCTTTTGCATTCTCGAGCCGTATTCTCATGTCCCATTGTTATTAGCTTCTTTAAGTCCCAGCATTGAGCATCGCGATTGTTTCTTTCCCCCTCTGCTTCCCCATTTATTCTCTTCCAATCCCACCTATTCCACCTATTTTATACCCATTTGCAGCATCCTTTCTCCCTTACACACACACTCCCTCTCACTCCATCCCGTTCGGCACTGGCTATTTCACCATCAACACAGTGGACCACCTACCATGCCATGCCTTGCGAAATGCACCCGGCTTGGAGTACACACACACACGGGAATCATCTTTGGAACCCGGAGGTTGGCGTTTACAGTCAGTCAGTAGTGGCCCCCTTTTAATTTGTTTCTTTTTGGTTTGTCCGGAACGGAGATTCATTGGCGCGCATGAATGGGTGTGGTTGTGAGATGTACATACCAGCTATACATATATTTCATATTTTATCCAATAAACCTACCTACCCAGATATATCATCCCTGTCTGGAATTAGGCAGCACATTGCAAGATTAGTTTCCCTGTCCTTGTGTTGCGAGGTAACATGAGAACGCAGCATCACGATGCTCGGCGGGTTGGCCGCCTGGCAGTCTCTGTCCAACCCAACCCCACCCACTATTAGTATCTTTGATCATCACCGATAGTACTACCACTACCACCACCACCACCACCACTACTACTACTACTACTACTACTACTACTACTACTACCACCATACCGTGCATTCTGACAGTAAACTACAGTACTAGTAATACTTAGTAGTAGGAAGATCATCCATTGCCTAACCGTTCTCTCTCTCTCTATATATATATATATATCGCCATTGGAAATAAGATAATAAACATTTCTCTCGAAATTCAAGTACTGCTAGCTACTATATTGACTTATTGACTGCTGTGATTGAAGTTCCAACTAAGTTGTTACGGGCAGAGGTACATGCTTAGTAGTATTCTAATGAATATATATTTTTTTTTGTTGTTAGTAGTAGTAGTATTTCCTTCAAAACCATTAATTCCTAGTATTTTAAATAGATAAGCAACAAACAGTAAGTACTACTAGTAGCAACGTATTCTGCATACACAATAGTATAGTTGTAAGTACATTAATAGTGTATACACGAGTCAATTGACTAACTACTAGTAGTAGCGCTACTGAAAACAAAGCCGACATCAGTTTTACTAACTTAGTAGTCAGTACCCTGTATGCTGAATCATGCAACTCACTAAGTTCAATTACTAGCTTGGCTTGTTAATAGATGGAAGCAAGGAATTACAATTCTGAATATTTGTTTGTTTTATCAATGGTGGATTAGATTGATTTCCTTTCTCACTTCATCAATCTGATAATAGTACACACCGAGTCATTAAGTCACATAAGGAAAAACGCAGAAAGATAAAAGAACAATTCGCTGGTATCAATCATCTCATATCATCTCAGGCCCAAGTCTCTTTTGTCTCCTGGCCCCTTAAACATATGTCATCATGGATAATCATCATCAGCAAAGCTGCTGCTCTAGTAAACATCATCCCTTAGCTCAACCAAGCTTCAAAACCCCCGCTGGGTGCCAAGGGTTCCGCGGTTATCAAGGTCCGAGTCGACGCGGGGGTCGAGCTTGTTAGCCATGTCGGAGCTGTGAGGGCCGGCGGTGCGCTGGCCGGTAGTGTTGTAGCTGCTGCTGGCCATTCCCTGGTGACGGGCGCGGTTGTCCATGTCCGAGTCAACGCGAGGATCCAGCTTGTTGGCCATGTTGGAGCCGTGAGGGCCTGCGTTGCTGCTGCCGCCGTAGCCGCTGCTGGTGGTGTAGTCGTTCACGCCACTGCCATAGCCTGCACCAGTTCCTGCACCACCGCCGTAGCCTGCGCCGGTGGTGTGGGTGCCGGAGTAGCCGCCAGCGGCACGGTTGTCTGGGTTGAGTGTTAGTATTGTGCTTGAGGGTATAAAGGGTGGGATAAGGGGGGGTGTATGTACCTCTGTCACTGTCAACGCGGGGGTCCATCTTGTTCGCCATGCTAGAGTCGTGAGGGCCGTGGGCACCACCCATAGCCTGGTGACGGGCACGGTTGTCGCGGTCACTGTCGACACGGGGGTCCATCTTGTTGGCCATGCCGGACTCGTGAGGACCCGAAGAGTAGCCACCGGAGGAGTAGCCGGCACCGGAGCCGCCCATACCGCCGGTGGGGTTGGCACGGTTGTCACGGTCACTGTCGACGCGGGGGTCCATCTTGTTGGCCATGCTGGAGTCGTGGGGGCCGTGAGCGCCGCCCATGGCTTCGTGGCGGGCGCGGTTGTCTGGGGAGTATGTTAGTATCGAATTGGAGGGAACGATTGGAGGGGTATATAGCTTACCGCGGTCGCTGTCGACGCGGGGGTCCATCTTGTTGGCCATGTTGGAGGAGTGGGGACCAGCGTTGGAGGAAGAAGTGTTGCTGGAAGAAGTGTTGCTGGACTCCTTGTGGTGGCCAGTCACGGCATCCTTAACCTTGTGCATAAGTCCGGACATGATGGGCAGTTGTATGTGTGTTTTGTTTAGAAATTGAGGATAGGATTGTAGATAGAGAGTTTGAAATGTGGTAGTTGTAGACAGTCAGATATGCTGAATCAGTTATTGTGTTAATGATGAGGATCGAAATTTCTTGGAGACCAGCCAGGTTTAAATAAGGAGTGGTGAGTGAATGGACATCTGGCCATGACGTAGGGATACGTCGAGTGGCCGCATTCCCTCCTGGACGTGCCCTGGTCAAGCAAAGTGACTTGATGGCGGTTGAATGAACGATTGATTGAGTTCACCTCCCTCACAATGGCGGGCTGGTAGGATGACGTTGTGATGTGCTCATGTTTCTCAGCCCTAAAGCAGCGATGGATAGGGTCTTTGTCATTGTCCTCTAGCGGCATCGAAAACGGCAGGGAATAGCTCCCACGGATGTCGATCGTTCCTAGGCGGGACGTTAAGTGGTGAGTGGCTCCGCATATTCGTGTAAGGCCAGATTAAGAAGCCGTCTATTTTTGTCTCCTACCAGCGTGTCCAGCCAGTTACTGCCTTCTGGCCAAGTCTGGGGTTGTTGGAGATGTGCATCAGTGAAGATGAGTCAGCAATTCACCGCAGATGATGACCTCAGCCAGTGTGTCGATGTCGTCGGCCAAGCCTGCATGCATGGTAGTTATTGGCTGCAGCTGTGAGTTGCGGGGATTAAGGGAGAGCAAGACCCACTCATACGAATCCACTTGCTGCGGGCCCAGATGGTGCCTCCGATCGAATGGGGATCGGTCTTCCCCCTCCATCTGGCATGCCAGATTGAGCTGCACACCTTATTCTTTAGGATTATTTTAGTATCCGCACTAGCCTACTGCACTGTAAATACCTCCGAGTATAGAGGAGCCGTGTATCCCAGAGATATCTGGTGGCGCGGTCTCGTATACGGCGGGTGTAGTGATAGAGAATCCTATAGTTCGGGCTCCTCCCGGCTTACATCACGGATTGACCCGACCCAGACAATGACAATCTGTTCCGTGGGCGGAAGCATATCACTGCCGTTTTGATACTATTCGTTTGCCAAGGTCTCACCATGCATGATGCAATCTGCGTGAATCAAGCTCCCCATAGTGCTGTGCACGTCGACGATATTCCTACTTTAGCATTTCGGTCTAGTTTGGACGGGATGTCGAAGAGCTCTTTGTCCTGTTCCTGAAATTGATTTGCTGGCAACACCGGGTGAATCCTTGGAAGACTGGAGACGTAAGCGGCTGTCAGATCTACACCCGCCCGTCCAGTGGAGCGTACAGTTGAGAGTGGCTTGCATCGCTAGCAAGGTTGGCAGACCGGTCTAGCTCGTAACAGCATGCACCTCCGTGTAGCTATTCGTCATTCAATCCGGCCTACAATGGGGAGTTTCTCTTGCAAACAGGCTTGGGCATCCTGAGCTCTCAATCACTACAGTATCATATCCAGGACCTTGAGTGCTGCGCCGCCAGCAATGTAGGTTATTGTATATCGGAATCAGGTGGAGATTTCCCAAACGGTGCTGCTAATTGAGGTGGAGTGTCACCGGGACAACCAGCTACCCCTATATGGAATGATTGTTTGGTTCTGCGGCCATCTCGGATATAGATTATTTCTTGGCCAAACCCAGGAAATATGATGGTTTCGCTTGACATCTACCATGGACGCGTCAATCGCTGGCTGGAACTCAGACGCTGCGTCTAGTTGTAGTGAAGATCTAGAAGAGGTATTCGGACTACTTTCACTGTCCCGACTGTTAATGGCATCCGAAATGAGTTTAATGATGCCCTCGTTTCCAAACTCCATGGCATGTGTAAGCGGCTTTGTGCCATAGTGGTCCTCTGAATTTGGGTTCACTTTGCCGGTCTTGAGCAGTAGTGCAACAATGCTTTCATGGCCTCCCTGGCAGGCAAGAGCCAGTGATGTCTTGCCATGGTTGTCCTGCATATCAGGATCGACCTCATCGTTCGCAAGTAGTAGCCCGACAATCTCATCGTGGCCATGATACGAGACCTGCGCGAGCGGCGTCTTACCACCTGCATCCCGACAGTTCGGGTCAGGTATCCCGGTACTCAGGAGTGACTTGACAATATTATTATGTCCCGTGAGTGCAGCATGCAGTAGTGGGAGTGCGTCCATACTTGTCCCTAGAGTTGAGGTCTTTGACTCCAAAGTCGAGCAGTATCACAATACTTCCGTGGCCACGGTGTGCTGCTCGTGAGAGTACAGTAATACCCCTAGTATCTTATTCGATTGGGATCAACTCTCCCGGTGTTCAGTAAGAAAGTGACAACATCTTCATGCTGAGCATCTGCTGCATAGGCAATGGGTGTAAGCCCAACATAATCCACGAAATCTGGACCAACTTTGCCGGTAGCAAGAAGCATCTTGATGATATTGAGATGGCCACGTCCCGCTCCATACCCGAAGGGCGTTTTTCTTCCACTAAAGGCCCGCATGTCGGGGCGAATCCCTTGCTTGCTGAGCAGGAGGCTGACAATACTCTCGTTACCATGATATGCTGCATGTGCGAGTGGCGATAGTCCACTATTGTCCACTTCATTCACATCAATCCACCGCGGTGTTTGGAATAAGAAGGGGAAAGACCAGACTGTCTGAGCAGGAGCTACAGCACGTCAAATGTCCCATACTCTGCTGCGAGTGATAAAGCCGAACGACCATGGGTGCTCCTATGATTCAAATCGATATCTTTGTCTTGTAGTAGCGTTTGAACGGTGCGACGTAATCCCAGCCATGATGCTCGCATTAGAGTGGTGGAGGGAGTGACCGTTAATATATCGTCTAAGGTACTCATGATGTGATCGATCCACAGATATGTTCGATTTCGAACGGAGGTCAGTTCGGAGAGAAGAAGGTTGCGCTCGTCTGCCAGAAGTTGTAGTCGATCTGCAAGCTCCTCTATGCTGTGCTCTATGACCATGTTGATTTCTCCCGCTATCTTGTGTACCTCATCGTTATCTTCTCCACGTAGGTGAATAGCTGGGAAGTTATTCTCAGGAGACTGAAACCTTCTCTGAATAGCGCTATATGGTCGACTAATGATGAGAAATCTCAATTTCGAAGACGGTCGGAAAGCAGGTGCGGTCTTTGCTCGAAGATCTGATGGAGGATGCAGCATAAAGCATCCACAAGGGATGTCCGATTCTCGAAATCCTCCTTGAAGCAGAAGTAGCAGACCACACTTGTCCTTGAACTAAGCAAAACTTCATCTAATAGATATCTGGCCAGGACGGATTTTCCACAGCCAGGATCGGCTGAAACCCAGAGAAGGCCCTGCCCATGATCTTCTCTCCAACTTTCGAAGAGGTGGTGTTGGATGAACCACTGACAAGTCCCCTCAACTCGTTGTGGGCTCCTATTCTTAGCGTCTCGGTAGTTGCAGGTATACAGCTGCTTGAGGATGTTGGCTTTCCACTCTGATGTATGTTCTTCGTACGGTGGAGTATCTATACCAATGTTATTATATTTCATTATCAACGCAAGAGAAATTATTGGGCACATACAGTGAGGATCCATGTACATCAGGGCTTCCTTCGCTAAGGCTGCAGCTACGCCGGCAGCATAGGCATGCCAGTCATCATTTTTGTGAGAGTTACAATAATCGGAAATCCACGAATGACAACGCATTGGAACTGGTCCATAAGTCCGGCAGCCTCCATCTCACAACACATCGCGCCACCTGATTCCCTTGCTATGATGTCCCGCTTTGTTCCATCTTTGATGACACGGTTTCCTGACGCTATAATGCCATAGAAGACGCGTGACTCGTGAGGCAGTGTTCGCGGAGCTCGTCTCAAGGCCCTAGTTGCGTCACAAGAGACGCAGTTTTGCCCTTCCTGAGCGTGGATATAGTCCGCTGGGAACAAGAGATCGGTGTCCGGCAGCGGCCTTTGATACTCTGTTAATATGGGATATCTGCGCAGCATACCCGACAGAAACGATGCAATCCGGTTTGCTCGGATTTGGTGGTCTGAGGTCATGTTTGCCATAGTCTTTCTCCACTCAGCAGGCGGAGGACACAGTACACCCTTCCTCTTGAACCCGTTTGTGGTTTCTTTACCCAAATCATATTCGACTACACCTCCAATAAGTCTGTCCGGAGCGCTAACGACCACATCCCCAAGACGAATATCGTTAGCAAGGCTAGGAATGCCACCACCAATGCCCGCCAGTAAACGAAGCTTGATTGCTGGGAAAGTGCGAATTAGGTGGATGGCCACGGCCGCCGCGGATGCCGTTCCCTGTGACCCCTTTGGGAGTGCCGCGAGCACAACATTGTGCCCATTCAAGGATCCAAGTATGTATATGTTCGGATCTTTTCTGTTTCCCAGAAGCATTCCATGCTCTTCGTCAAGCATATATCAAGCCGCACTCAGTTCAACCTCCAAGGGGCATATTAATGCGACCGTGTACGCATCGTTGTTAAGACGCCGTATGGAAGTGCTAGGCATTTCCCACCGCTCTGCCGTCAATGAGTTAGGAAGGAGAGAGTTTCTAGGATCATAAGGCTTAGAACAGGCCCAAGGGCAGTATGCGACATATGAAGTTCCCAGTGAGATGCGGAGACCAGGGCTCAGCCTCGCGCTGATGACATGTGCCTTCGTGCACCAATAAACACTGAAATCTTAAGACACCAAAGGTACCATTTGAATATATGATCTCTGGTATTGGTATCATGACCCACTTGACCTAATGCTGATGCTGTTGATATAGCGAGAGAAAATGAAGGCCAAACATAGAAGCCCCTCCCTAGACTTTCTTGATTTCCCAGATGAAGATGCTCATTTTAAGATGGGAAATCCGAGACTGAAGCGTGGTGAACGACATTCGTTCGTATTACATCTTCCCAGCGCTTGCCAGGCGGCAAGCCGACGAACTGCAACGAGACGATCGGCTCCCGCTAGTAGATAGTCGCAACAGAACTAAGTCTGTGCCACTCCAAAAGCGCCGAAACATGATTACTTATGAGTAGGCCGATTCGAGTAATAACATTGTGACTGAAGAGATTCGAAGTCGTGGTTGGCACGTTAGTAGTCCTAATGATGTTGTCAACTGCGGATCCCAGGTTATTCGAGGGAATATGTATCCACTGCTTATCATCACTTACAGCACGTGATGCATTCTTAGCCCTCTATGATCTGTCTGAATTTCACTTTCTCATGGTATCCAAATTGGATGTTTCATCGTGGCCAAACCAGGTCAAAGTACGTGGAAGTCAACTGGTTGGCAGGAGTGTTGTGAGGGAATAGAGTTCTGGGCGAGGCAGCCCCGTGAAGATGGATTCACCAACCACAACATCCGGCCGCTGGTTGATCCCCCGCGAGTTGTTCCTAATTTCTGCACGATGATGCCACTCCTTATCTCGTACCAGTTCCCAAGAGTCTCATATGATATGGCTCGCTGGACAAGGAGCACTAAAGCTGGAGAGACCTTTCAACAACGCTGACTCGCCCTATCGTTCCACCTCGACTAAGCAACTAATCCAAGTTGGACAAAGCGGACGGGCTGTTGACCGCTAGACGCAAATTCTTTCACGCTGTGTACAAAGACCACCTCTTCTATTTCTGTGTCTCTCCTCCCTCAGTTAGGTTGAATTGGAGGCAAAATGCGATTGAATTTCAGTCAACCCCCGACACCGGCGTTGAGTCGGCAGAACACCACGTTCCTTAACAATGCGCATCACTATCGCGCAGGGACCCATCCGCATCTCCTGACGAGTCGGAGCAAGCCCCGAAGGTAAACAAAAATTAATCGCTCACAAATTTGCACCTTACTATACCATTATGCTGAATACGCGCCATATCAGATGGCCTCTGGTGTTCCGATTCATCAAAGGCGCTATCCACGCGGCCATTCTGCTGCCCGTCTTCCTGCACGCCGCGTTCACAGCCTTTGTGGTCTATCTCGATATCTACGTCTTTGATACGGTTGGACTACCGAGCAGTATTGTAGGTCCCACTCACATGCATGTTATCGCGCTTTCAGATCTGATTATGCAACCGTAGATCCCATCTTTGTCTATAGTCGTGGGTTTGATGCTCGTTTTCCGCAACCAAACCTCTTACAACCGGTTCTGGGATGGGCGTAATGGAATGAACACAATCTATACGTGCATTCGCAACCTAGTCAGGACCATTGTCACAAACGGCTACAGCACCGCAGGTCCTCCCACTGCCGCGGAGAAAGAGGACATCGAGCGGACGATACGGATCCTCATGTCGATTCCCTTTGCAGTCAAGAATCACCTTCGTGCTGAATGGGGAGCGGCGTGGGCTCTGGGAAATGATGTAGCCGAGAACGGTGTCGCAGCGTTCAACCCCGATTATGCAAGTCTCCTTCCAGCTGGACTGGTGGGCCACGAGGATGAGGGGCTGGGGTTACCGTTTCAACTAACCTTCTTCGTGGATGGGTTTATCAAGAGGGGAGTGGAGCGCGGCTGGTTCAACGCTCCTGGGGCGAGTCAAATGCAGGCTCAGTTGAATTCATTGATGGATGCCTATGGCAGAATGGAGACCATCAAGCTGACTCCTATTCCGGTTGCGCACTTGTAAGTTCCATCATCTTGAACCACCCCTTTACCTCTCCACGCCAGCTCACAGGTGAAAGGATCCACCAAAGACAAGTTCTCGCTCTCTTTGGCTGTGTCTTACCCTTCGGTATGGTCGACGATATGGGGTGGTGGACCGTTCCGATGGTCAGCCTGGTCATCTTCACCTTGTATGGCATCGAAGGCATCGGCTCGCAATTAGAAGATCCCTTCGGGTACGACCGCAATGACATCAAGATGGATGCTATTGTCGGCGACGCCAAGACCGAAATTGAAGTCGTACTGGCCGAATGGCGCCGACTGATGGCGTCGCTCGAGTCAGGCTCGGCGACCGATAATGGCGATCAACATCTCGACAACGGTCTAGTTGCGGAGGAGGAGGTCAAGGAGCAGAAATTCATGCCGCCCGATATGTTCCTCAAGCATCGCGCGAGACCATCCGGGCGATAAGTAGCTAGCTAGCTAGCTAGCTATTTCTGATTGTGCTGGTTCCCGGAAACTGGGCGTTGTGGAGATCGAGCAGATCTAGCGTCGCTAACAGGGAACTATCACCTTAGACCATCTCGGTTACAAGAGATCGACGCCCTATCAGCCTGTCAAGCACGCGAGTGATTATCTAGGAGGATATTTCTCATCCTTGCGATCGTCAGGGGATATCTCCATCGAAGTAATTCGGATCATTGCTGGACTAATCCGACATCGTCGACATATCAAGTCTATAGTTTCTTTTTTTGTATTTTCCGAAATAGCTCCACTTTCTGTGCATACCCTCAATATTATGAACATGAAATGAACCATACATATAAAAGCCACCACCACGAAACCACAACAAATCCATCATCAATCGATCAATCAATTCCACCTCCAACCACAGAATCTCACCACACCACACCAAAATCTCCAACCCAATCAAATCAAGATCAAAATGAACCTCCTCCCCCTCCTCCTCACCCTCACCACCTTCCTCCTCCCCCTCACAGCAGCCTTCACCTCGACCTTCCAAAACTGCCAAAACCTCAACCGCCTCAACCAAACCGTCCACCGCGTCCACCCACTCCTGGAAAAATTCTCCTCTGTGCACGCCTCCCAATCCCAAACAGCCGTCACCACAACCACCACCACCCTCGCCAACGGAACCACCATCACCGTCACCAACACTACTTCCTCCTCCGCTGCAGTCGAGAGGATTGAAGGCGTTAGGGCTCTGCTTCTCTCCTCCCAGGAGAAGATCTATGGCCGGTTGAGTAACTGCTCGAGTGATGTGGCGCCCCGGGATGTGCTGGTGAAGGGCAGCGTGAAGAGAGATGATGATGATGATGATGATGATGATGACTCTTGCACTTTGACTGATGTTTTGAATCAGTTGGTGGATACCTTGGAGTGTGTGTTGAGCTTTGCGACGGGCTTGTTGGAGACGATTCTGGATGGGGTTTTTGATTTATTGAAGGATGTTATTGAGGGGGTGGAGAAGTTGTTGTAGGGTGTTTTTATGTTTTTGGATAGTAGGGGGGTTAGAGGGAAGTTGGTGGTGGGTGGTTTAGATGTATGATTAATTATAGGAGGAGGAGAAATGATCCTTTGCTGGATCGTGTCGTGTTGCAAGATACCCATTTATAGTACTTCATCTAATTCGTCAAGTATAGCCATCATTCCGCTTAATGAAGCCTGTCACTGCCAGTCTGAGGGGCGGTAAGATCTGCATTTGATTATATACATGATTGTGTCAATCATAATGGCGCTTCTAATGTAAGCACCCCGTCCAATATTGAGTCCGGATTCGCGTACTCAAGCACCTGCGACACAGCGTGCAAGTCACTCCCGTATTGTAGGCTTCTATCCTCTTCGGGTTTGGCCACGATGATCCGATGTCGAAAGACCTTCCTGGCTGCTAGTGCTACGATTGAGGGCGTGAGGAAGTCGATGCCGTGTAATACGGCGAGGAGTCTGCGTTGAAATCAGCGCTTTGCTTTGGCATGCAGGGAATGGATGGGATGATCTCACTTTGAAAATGACTTGAAATAGAGGTTTGACCGTGTGGATATCCCCCCAGCTACTGCGCGACTGAGCCGAAGGAACACAACTATGTCTTGTTGGTACCGGGCTAATTCGGCGCCCATGCTAACCGTGGTGCTTAGTTGTTGTAGTTGTTCGAGGAGCTGGTTGTTATGTTCTTGTTAGTGGGTCTGGTCCGATGACCAAGGTAGAAGGGAGACAAACTGTGCTGTCTACATGAGGATGGCCTTTCTTCGTTTGAGCTTCTGGCTTGTGGATAACGGATGATGCGGACAGCTGGCCATCGGAGAGCCAGTCGTTGCTTTCTTCGAGGTGGACGTAGCCATCTTCTGTGTCGTGAAAATGAGAGATGAACAGGTAGTCGTTCTAAGTGGGGTCAGTTCACTGAGTGATGGAAATATCCCGGTGGCAGATTTACTAGATGAGAGTTTAATGGTGGCATTTCATCGCGCACAATAAGAGGTAGGAACAGAAAATAGGTTGGGACTTTTAAGATTCCTGCCGGTGTGGTGAGTTGTTTCGAGTGCATTAACTGTATGAACCAGTCAATATCACACTCTATCTTCGATGTAATTGTGTTTACCTCGAGAGCTTCGCGCTGGATGTTGTCGTCCACATGGTTGAAGTGCTTGGCTATCACAACATTGACGACTTCCTGCTTGTGCTCGATAGGGGCTGACTTGAGGCGTCCTTTGTGATCCCGCAAGTCATGATATGAGGATATCGTGCCCGCCTTATCTTATTAGCCTAGCAATAAAGTCGAACAAAACAATCGAGTTGACATACAGACTCAGTGGTCATTCGGGAGCGTGAAGGCCGAGCATAACTGCTCCTGTAAAGCCCGGGAGGAAGTAATTCAGCATGAAAGTCTTCTAAAGATGTAGCACTAGAGCAATCAAGAATGCTATAAGAGAGCCCAAATGTATTCGTGCATATCTAGACCAGGGAGGCATTAGTAACATCGTAGACCATATCACGGGATTCTGAATTACCAGGGCGAGCTCCTTTGCGACGTCATGGATAATGGTGTCGGTTGTGTCAATGCGACAGTGTTGGTGTGCCGCAAGACAAAGAAAAAGAGCTACTTCAAGATCAGATAATTCTGGAGCGAGTCTTGAGATTTCCGAGCCATCCTCCATGATAGTACTCTCTCGCAATTGACAGTCATAATGGCAGCTGGGATAGTCCATGAATAATTACCCGCGCGATACATGGTCCGGCCACCTCAGGCACTATATCCCAATGCGGTTAGTGCCGGAGACCCGTCCGCATGTGAGCTCCAGGAGCTTCCCGATAGACAACAACATCCGGCTGGAGGGTCTTATCCCAGCACTATCTCCATCGGATCTGTATCGCTTCCCATCTATACATGACATTGCTCGGTGTCAATGGCGCCGTCAAATCCTCTGGCCAATTGGGAGAGACTAGGAGATAGCTTCTACCGGAAGGTCCCCATATACGATGCCATCTTCGACGATGATGTCGAATTAGAGAACTACATTATTGCTGGCGCTCCCTACGGAGGGGCTATTGGTATGTGCAATGGTTGCAATATTATCAGTTTCTAAACATGCTGATATATTTCCAGCGCTGCACCGCGATGAGAGCAAACCGTACAGGTTCCGTGATGCTCAGACCTCCAAGTCGAGCATTGACATTTACTCATGCTCGGGGAAGCACATCAATCGAATCAATGTCAGTCAGGTATTGACTCCACGTAGGCACGTTCTAACGTTTGTAGTGGGAATACGGCACGATTCGCGGTCTCGGCTGGTCCGACAAGGAAGAACTCCTGGTGATCACGGAAGACGGCACTGTCAGACGCTATTTTGGCCTACACGGCGACTTCACCTCATTTTCCCTGGGAAATGTAACACTCCCTTCCACGTGCTGCTCTGCTGAAACTGACATCCGCTTAGGGAGCTGAAGACTACGGTGTGAGGGCTTGCCGATTCTGGACCTCCGGCTTTGTTGCCCTGCTTTCAAACAACCAACTGGTTGCAGTGTCGAATTACGACGAGCCGCGGCCTAGGCTCCTAGCTCCTTGCCCTGAAGGAGAAGTCTCGTCGTGGTCACTGATACCTCCGGCTTATACGCTGTCTCGCTCAGTTGAAGTCCTGCTTGCCGTTGACAAGACAGTTTACTTGGTCGACCCCACGGAAGCCGAAGACAAAGTCCTCCAAAATGGGCCGTTCAAGCATGCAAGCGTGTCGCCAACCGGAAGATTCGTTGCTCTAATCACCGCTGAGGGCAAGGTATGGGTAGTCAGCAGTGACTTCCAAAGCAAGTACAGCGAATATGACCCAGAATCGCGAGTCACTCCTCGGACAGTCGACTGGTGCGGAGACGATGCCGTTGTCATCGCATGGGAAGACGAGGTACATCTCATCGGGCCTAATGGCGTTGCGGCGAGATATTACTATGACGGCACTGTCCATGTCGTGCCTGAGTTTGACGGTGTGCGTTTGATTACCAACGATACCTGCGAGTTCTTGCACAAAGTTGTTGGTAAGTAATCTCTCGTTTAGTCTAGGAACAAACATCTGATGGTCTGCAAGATGTCACCGAGGCGATCTTCCGGCTCGGATCTACGTCACCCGCCTCAGTCCTCCTGGACTCTATAGACCTTCTGGAGAAGAAGTCGCCCAAAGCCGACGAGAACATCCAACGTATCCGGCCAAGTTTGCCGGAGGCGGTTGACACTTGTGTCAAAGCTGCTGGTCATGAGTTTGACACATATTGGCAGAAGCGCTTGTTAAAGGCAGCCTCGTTCGGAAAGTCTGTTCTGGACTTGTACAACAGCGATGAATTTGTCGAAATGACTGAGAAACTCCGGGTGCTGAAAGCAGTGCGAGACTACCAGATAGGACTGCCGCTTTCCTATGAGCAATACATGCGCCTTACTCCTGAAAGGCTCATTGAGCGGTTGGTAAACAGGCATGAATACCTCCTTGCGATTCGCATCTCTGAATACCTCGAGCTTCCTGCCGATAGGATATACGTTCACTGGGCAAGCCAAAAGGTCAAAGTCTCCACGGTGGACGATGATGCCCTCTGCAAGCTCATCGTCCAGCGACTGGAAGGCAAGCCAGGCATATCCTTTGAGTTGATCGCGCAAACAGCTTACGATGAAGGACGTGCTCACTTGGCGACTCAGCTTCTGAACCACGAACCAAGAGCTGGGAAGCAAGTGCCCTTGCTCTTGGACATGGAAGAAGACGAAATTGCCTTGGATAAGGCCATCGAATGTGGAGACGTTGATCTAGTGAACTACGTTCTGCTGCACCTCAAGACTAAACTACCGCTTGCCAGTTTCTTCAGAACGATAAACACACGCCCTATGGCGTCTGCCCTTGTGGAGACGACTGCCCGGGGACAGGACACTGAGTTGTTGAAGGACCTCTTCTACCAAGATGATCGGCCTATTGATGGCTCCAACGTCCTTCTCTCCGAGGCGTTGGACGCAACGGATCTGCCGCGCAAGACTGAGAAGCTCCAGCTCGCATCACGACTACTGTCAGACTCCAAGGATCCTTCGGTGGTGTTACAGCAGAAACTACTAAACGAAGCATCCCAGTTGCTGAAGGTCCAGGAGACCCTCGACAAGGACCTTGCGGATCGTTCAGAGTTCCTTGGCTTGAGCTTGAATGAGACAATCTACAGACTGATAAGATCAGGCTACGGGAAAAGAGCACAAAAGATACAGAGCGAGTTCAGGATGCCAGAGAAAACTTTCTGGTGGTTGAGATTAAGGGCCTTGGTAGCTAAGCGCGACTGGGGTGAGCTGGAAGAAATCGGGAAAAACAAAAAGTCCCCGATTGGGTGGGAGGTAAGCCTGCCAACAACCCCAGAATATGCGCCCGCATGCTCACGGATAAATAACAGCCATTTTATAACGAGATTTTGGGAGCTGGAAATACAAAGCTCGCTTCGTTATTTGTTCCCAAATGCACCAATTTGCCGGCTGAGGACAAGATGGAAATGTGGGTGAAATGCGGCATGATTGCGAAAGCCGGCGAAGAAGCCTTCAAAGCAAAGAATGTCAACGCCCTTGAGCTCCTCCAGGCGAGGGCTTCAGGACCAGCCGCGGTTGAGATCGAACGGATGATCAACCAGCTTAGACCGCGGAAGTAGATAGCTGGCGCAACCATGGCGGTAATTCCTTGGCAAGATAGACGTCCACGCATCAGGTGATATCATCGTCCACGTCAATGCCTTCGTGTTCCTCCACAACGGGAGCCTGAGTGACAGGGGCCGGCTTCGAACGTTTCGCTGGCTTAGAAGCCGCAGCATCGTCCATCATGGCATCGTCCATGTTATCGTCAGCCTCGTTGAGGGCTTCGAACATTGACTTCGTTTTACGGTTCAGATCCTCCCATTCAGCCTAGACACTCATTTCGTCAGAGAGATTGACCAATCATGATGGAAAGTCTGGCGTCCTTACCCTACGAGCCTTGACAGATTTGGCGCGGCCCTCACTTTTAACGACCTTCTTCTCCAGCTGGTCCATCACGGCCTCTGCCCTTTCAACACCCTTTTGTTGTCTCAAGCGCTGCGCTCTAGTTTTAGCTTTGCCCTTTGACGATTTCTTCGAAACGCCTGCATTAGCGCGTTCCGATAGGATCGAATCCCGCTGTACTGTAGTTTCTTCGGCCCGCGGAAGAGATGTGATTGACTTGTCGACATCGAGACTGGGGGAAGCTGCCCGCCTCGCAGCGCGGGAATGTTTTGACTGGGCTAGACAGGGGCATTATGTTAGCATTGAACGTGCATTTCTGAAGCAATATTCCTGTAAGAATAGCTGTACTCACGCCTAGATTTCGCCATGATTGATGCAGGGGGAATTTAGATTGGTATTTTCCTGCATGCCCGCAGGTGAATAATTTGTTGTGGAGCCGGGCATTATCGATAAAACCTTTCCGGGTGGCGGAAGACACCTGGAGCGCACTCGGCCGCTGCTTATTCTGCGACGCAACACTGGCTGCTCAAGTCGATCCAGTCGTCACTTCGCCAGACGTGGTCGTCGCCCCTTAACTGCTCTGCTAAGTGATGTCAATGTCCTCGTCCCTATGCCGTGGACTTTGCCTCCTTTTCATCAGCCATGAATGCTCGCAGAGAGGGGATTAACTTCCTCACTCCGAATCCCTTCAACGTGCAGCGCAGCAACTATGAAACAGTACTGCAGCAACTGCAGGGCAATCCATCCTTAGTTGCCTCTATATTAGTGACGCTCATCACTCTGTATTTTACCATTAGCTATTGGGGTCCAGCTTCGTTGTCGGTGGCTCGGATAGCCTGGAATATACTTGTTCATCTGACACCATCTCGACTGATTGCCGCCCTGGATTCCCAGACCCGGAAATCCGATACGACCGACGAGAACCCTCTTTCGATGACCTTTGAGGCCAAGAGTGAAGCGATGCAACGGATACTTGGCCTTGACGATACCTCCTTCTCCTCCCTCTTCCCTCGCGCTCCGGCTTTCTCGAGTTTCGGGACCTCCCTCTTGAGCAGCAAGAACAACGTACCGCCAGGGCTTGGAAACTGGGATAATTCGTGCTATCAAAACAGCATCATACAAGGACTGGCATCTCTCCAGTCGTTGGAGAAGTTTCTGGATCAGAATGTTGAGCAGCTAGGAGAGAAAGCCCTTATGTCCACGCATCAAGCTTTGAAGGATATCATAGAGCGACTCAATAGTGCAGACAGCAATGGCCAACGTCTGTGGACCCCGGCGGATCTCAAATCGATGAGCAGCTGGCAGCAGCAGGATGCACAGGAGTACTTCTCGAAGATTGTTGATCAGTTGGATCTGGAAGTCCAGCAGGCGACTCGGCGACACACGCGCAACTTGGGCCTGAAGATGGCAGGACCGCAGGAGCATGTGATTGGGTCTGGTTCATCACAGGAGCTACAAGAAAACAGTGGGGCGGAGTCACGGTCAACTGGAAACCAGGTCTTTCGGAATCCGTTGGAAGGTCTTCTTGCGCAAAGAGTGGGCTGCATCCAGTGTGGTTGGACCGAAGGGCTCTCGCTCATTCCCTTCAACTGCTTGACTGTACCGCTCGGTCCAAAGTTTGAGTACGACATCCGAGAGTGTCTCCATCATTACATGCATCTGGAGCCCATTGAGGGAGTGGAATGCGCAAAGTGCACTTTGTTGCGGGTACAGTCTCAGCTATTGAACCTGCTGAAGCAAATCAGCGATGATGAGGAGACTCCGAGTGCTACTCCGGAATCACCGAAAATATCAGATGCGCTTCGAAGCTCCGCACAGGAACGCTTACAGGCCGTTGAGCAAGCGTTGGGAGAGGAGGACTTTGCAGAGAAGACGCTCTCTCAGAAATGCCATATTCCCGGAAAAAATCGCGTGTCGACGACCAAGTCAAGACAGGCCGTGGTTGCCAGGCCCCCACAGTGCCTAGTTATTCACATCAATCGCAGCATGTTTGACGAAACTACGGGAATGCTCCGGAAGAATTACGCAGCCGTCAAGTTTCCCAATACCCTCAACTTGAATCCATGGTGCTTGGGCGGAGTTTCCAAAAATGGGGAACCAAATCTTGAAGCCTGGGAGACCAATCCCAGCGTATCCATGCTCTCGCATGCAGGAAGAGGCGCAACTGCAGGCGGTCACTATCAGTTGCGTGCTGTGATCACTCATTACGGCCGTCATGAGAATGGCCATTACATATGTTACAGAAAATATCCGACGGACAGTTTTCCGGCCCACGTTCCGGACGCAATTATCGAGGCAGATGGAGACAAGGAGAGAGACGAGCGTTGGTACAGGCTAAGCGACGAAGACGTGCAGATGGTCAGCGAAGCGAGCGTCATGTCTCAGGGCGGCGCCTTCATGCTCTTTTACGAGGCAGTTGACGACTACTCCCCAGAGGCTGCAGAGGACGTGGACTCTGGCTTGGCGGAAGAGGAGGGTTCAGCACCTTCTTCTAGCTGCACGCCATCAGAGACCATGTCTACAACATCTGCTGCCACAGGAGACTCCACATCCGATGTATCGCAAGCGACCAGCGTCTCAACGGCGTTGAATGTTGAACCTCGGTCTGAGAAGTCCCTGCTTATGTCCGACGTTGACTGAACCGTTTCTGTCTCGATTGCCCAACCTTGCTCTGCCCGATTGTGTATATCAGCATTATATGATACCCCGAGTACGACTCTTTAGAAAGCGTTTATCCACATGTTCTTGACTGTTTGCTCTACGTTTTGCTCTGGAATAATCGACGAGACGTTGAACACGGCTTTGTATAACACTGTATGTACTTGATATCTGATTATCGCTTTATAGCTAAAGTACACTATTTTTGACACTCCATAACCGATCCTGTATAATCCCAAGAAGCATGCCGTATGTCCAACACCCTGTCCCAGATAGTAAATAACACCCCAGTAACCAGCATAATCACATACCCAACGCCCGCTGAAGTATCAACCCAACCCATCCCATATCCCCAACTAAGCAAACCAAAAAGACAATCAAAATACCCCGGCCCTAGTCATAACATCATGGAATTGCTCCAACGTAACCCCAGCATGCACCCCAGCCCCACCATTCGCCTCCAATATCATATCCTTCAACAACTCATCACCCAGCTCGTCCTCCTTCAACTCGCGCGCTATCCTCTTCAAATGGTTAAACGTAATCAATCCCCCCGAGCCCCTCGTAAATAACCGATACGCCGCATCCACCTCCGCCGCCATCGCATCATCAGACCTAGATCGTAGTTTCGCCGCCGCGACAGCCAGAAACGGCTCGTACAGCACGTACCCGGTATCCGTGGGGTCGACAGCCGAGATGATGGAGTGGAGTTCTTCGCTGTCGGTGGGGTCAAGGCCGAGGGCTCTATTGTTGCACTGAGTCAGTTATTCTTTCGTCGCAATGTGGATGTCTAGGGAAGGGGAACCGTACACTAAGGCTTTGCGCACATCACCGCGTGGGATCACGCCTTCCTTTTGATCTGCGAATTCCTCGACGGTCTCGGAGAAGAGGTGGAATACTTCTTTGATTTCGTTCTCTTCCGATGCGCTGATGTCGTTCTCTTTGGCGAGTTTAGATTGGCGTGCGCGTTTGGGCGCGGGGCCGCTGCTTGGGGCGCTGCGCTTTTTGGGGGGCTGGTTGTGGTGATGGTGGTTAGCGCATTGGTTGAGGGGGGAGTATGTACATGCGATAAGAGTCATGGTGACTTACCATGGTAGCGATTAGTTGTGTATGCCCTTTGATAGTGTGTAGGCAGTTGTTAAGCTGTCGCAAACTGCGATGATGTCAAGGGAAAGGGTGGTTGGAGATGAGGCGCGGGGGCGGATGAGCCATGGACATTTGGTAGGCTGGTAAGGATCGGGATTTGCCGATTTACATCGCACTGCCGTTGGGAGTCCGGATGGGGATGTCGATGACTCCGAGGAAGATGAGGTGAGAAGAAGATGGGTTGCTTCCATTGTCTTCGATTGCAGTTAATCTCGTGATGGCCGGCGGGCTGCTGACGTAACCCCGCGATGCCTGGACGTTCTTCTTGTTACTTCTTCAGCTGCGTTTGCGCCGACGAGGGTTACATTTCCCAGGCATTTCGGAGTTGCGATTCAGTCCTCCTGGTGCTTTCTCATACTTCGCAGCTTTGCTTTGAAGACCTCTGTCTCAGCAGCCGTCGTCATGGATGTCGAGCTGTATGTCTATGACCTATCCAAGGTGATTTCCATAGCTTCACGTGTACATGTTTAGTCAAGGAGTCATGGGCTAATGCGGAGCAGGGTCTTGCGCGAATGGTGAGACACGCATTGGTTGTGGCAGAGTCGCCTCGTGTGTCTAACTTCGTCTAGTATTCGCTAGCCCTGACGGGCACGCAAATCGATGCCATTTACCACACGTCGCTGGTGCTGAACGGCGTCGAGTATTACTTTGGCCAAGGCATCCAAACGGCCGTCCCCGGCAGTACTCATCATGGACAGCCCATGGAGAAGCTGCATCTTGGCAAGACCGAGCTCCCCATGGATGTAATCGAAGAATACATCCAGTCGCTTGCGGAAATCTACACCCCTGAGGTAAGAGCCCGTATCCCCAGCCCGGTCATCTCTCTAACCCGGCCGTCCAGTCCTACGACCTCTTCCTGCACAACTGCAACAACTTCACGCAGGATCTGGCCATGTTTGCTCTCGGCAAAGGCATCCCTGAGCATATTCAAAACCTACCGCAGACTTTCCTGAGCACCCCTTTTGGGCAAATGATGAAGCCCCAGATCGAAATGGCCCTGCGCGGTGTAACCCAAGGCACTGGCGCTGGCACTGGCACAGTCGGCACTCAAACGCCCTCCACCAGCGCACCAACCGCCCCTGCGCAACCTGCCCCCGTTACTCAAGGTTCTGTGCGCATCGCAAGCAACCTCGCCCAGCTCGAGCACCACCTAGCTGCCGCCGCCGACTCATGCGCCGTCATCTTCTTCACCTCGGCCACCTGTCCGCCCTGCAAAATGGTCTACCCGACGTACGACGAACTCGCCGAGGAAGCAGGCGCCAAAGCCACCCTCATCAAAGTCGACATCAGTACTGCCATGGACGTCAGCATGAAATACAGCGTCCGAGCAACCCCAACCTTCATGACCTTCCTGAAGGGCCAGAAGCTCGATGAATGGTCCGGCGCCAACCCAGCCCAACTACGAGGCAACGTCCGTCT